GGGACTGGACTTAAGGGCTAATATATAATTGCAGTTTTTAATTTGGGGCTGGATTTAAGGGCTAATGTAGAATTGCGGTTTTTAATTTTGAGCTGAGCTTAAGGGCTAATGTAGAATTGAAGTTTTTAATTTTATTGAAGAAAGACATCCAAAAACAAAACAAAAAACTTTGTCTGCTTTATCATTTCACCAGAGAAGGGATATTTGACACATTAAAAAAAAAAGGAAAGGAAATAATTTCAGAATAAAAGATTTTTAAAAAATTGAATACATTTAATTTTAAAAATTCTTATATTATCATTGTTTTTTTCATTTAGTAGGTACAGATTAGAAACTTGTGACAGAATGGTGTCCTGTGGCTCTGGAAATCACTGGTTTAGGGTCTTTCTAAATGTGTTTTGAAAATGGCTAACTGAGCTGGATGGAGAAGCAGATCCAGTGGGAACGGGAGCAGTGAGGCTGCTGATGGGGAGGAGTCCAAGGGAGTGAGAACACAGGGAGTGAGAAGAGTAGGTTTTTCCCTAGTCAAGAAGTTAAAGAACTGCAAGGATAATTGTTTCTGCACAGAAAAGAAAATTAGTGTTTTCGGTATTAGCAGCAGAGTAATTTTAAATTTGAGCTTCCCGGGTAGCTCAAATGGTAAAGAATCTGCCTGCAATGTGGGAGACCTGGGTTCGATCCCTGGGTTGGGAAGATCCCCTACAGAAGGGCATGACAACTCACTCCAGTAGTCTTGCCTGGAGAATCCCATGGACAGAGGAGCCTGGTGGGCTATAGTTCATGGGTTCGCAAAGAGTCGGACACGACTGAGAGATTAACACACACACACAATTTTAAAAGTTCAGAGGAGCCAAAACATGACCTTGTTCATGTGTGGCTTTATATAGAATTAAGATGGAAATGATTGGAGAATAAATGTACGCTTACATGATAAAAGAGTTATTACTGTGAGTGAGTGCCTGAGTGTCATAAGATGGCAGTGGGATGGGGAAGGAGAGAAGTATAGACCCGGGGTTTGATCCCTGGGTTGGGAAGATCCCCTGGAGGAGGGCATGGCAACCCACTCTAGTATTCTTACTTGGAGAATCCCATGGACAGAGGAACCTGGCGGGCTACAGTCCATGGGGTCTCAAAGAGTTGGATACATAATATGAAAGTTAGCTATAATTCTGTATAGTACATGTGTTTATTATTATTAGAAGACAGACTTAAAAAGGGAAGAGATGGTCAAGAAATCATGTTGAAACCTGCTGCTACTTTACCTGTGAGTCTCAGAAAAGAAGTAGGATTCAAAGAGAATTGCCCCTAGGAGAATGTCAGGTTTCATAAATAGCAGGTAGAAGGCTTGTTTTTAGAAAAACCAGAAGTTATCAGATGACTTGTTCATATCAAAATAGTGGCTCTATAGAGCAGACTGGCAATTGTTGAGGTGGAGTGAATTTCTCGCGTGTAGGTTAGTGCTGAAGTAATAAGAATGAGCTAAGAGCATCAGAGTGGCAGGTGCTCAAGTGTAGAACAGAGCTGTCTAAGGGGAACTGGAGACCCCTGCCAGTTCACCAGGAACATGGCCTCCTATTGTCAGCTTTTCTATCCTAGGTTTGGGGAGAGCCAAGAGAGTGCCCTCTATGTGTTCTCTGGGTCAGGCTGTGGAAATGTAGAAACTAGAGATAGCCAGGTAGTACACTAGTTAGATGATTAAGGGAGGAGTACTGGATAGGCTGTATGAATTATTCGAGTGTTGGTTAAACCAACTACTTGCTTGCCATATCTTTATACTTAGATACAGTTTATAAGAAAGCACTTGTAAGGCTTATTAAAATACATAGAACATGTATAAAATAAAATTCACAATTTTATTCTTTTGCTCAACAATGCTATTAGCTACTATGAGCCAACTACTGTTCAAGGTGCTGGGGATATACTACAGTGAATGAAATAAGAAAAATTTCTTTTTGTAGATCTTATATTATTATGTATTTATCTAAGTATAGATGTTTTGATTGGAAGCTGTGCTATCATGAATGTTAATGGGGAATTTCCCACCTTCCTTCTTTTCTTCCTTCGATAAATATTTATCAAGTAACCTCATGTGCATCGGAGATATAAAGACTAAGTTAGACATGGTCCCTGCCTTAAAATTACTATGGAGAAAACAAGCAGGTAGAAATAGTGTGATAAAACTAGAGTGTTCTAGGAGCAAATGCTGTAAGTCATGTTTGAGGTCATTGAAGGTTTTTCCTCCTTGAGAGAGATGTTTAGACTGACACTTGAAGAGAGTTAGCCAAATGCAGAAGTGGGGTAGGAGGGGGAGGATATTTCTAGTAGACAGAATAGTGTTTTTAAAGAATAGAAAGTGATTAGTGAGGTTGGAGCTGAGACTTTGAGAAACTGGGTTTTGAAGAGAGAGGTGAACAGGGTCTTTGTTTTCAGTGCTTTGTAAACCACGTTGGGATAGATAGATTTCAAACTCTTTAAATGTGATAGGAACCTATATAAATATTTTACAATGAAACTTATATGATGAATTTTATGTATTAAAAATATTATTGATTGTCATATAGAGAGGGAATCGACAGTTTGAAGATCGTTTGAAGCAATGCAGAGATAGATTATGGCAGCTGAGACTAAGATCCTAGTAAGGAATTTCTTTGGGCCTGGAAAAGTTAGAATTGTGAGAAATTTAAGAAGAGTTTAAGGATAAAATCCATGTTTCCAGCTTGTGCATTTGGATGCATGTGTCATCATTAATTTAGGGACACAGGAGGAGAAACAGGTTTGGTAGGGTGAAGTGTTTATTTTTAGGCATGTTTACTCTAAATTGTCTTTCCAGGGATCCAATGAAAATGTAGTAGAAGCAGAAAGATATTCGTGTCTGCAGAAAGATTTGGACTGGGAATAAAAATTTGAGAGGAATCAATGTGTAGATGGAAATGGAAGGCATGGGAGACCACTTGGGGAAAGTGTGGAGGTTGAGAGAAGGGCCTGGTGCAGAATCTGAGAGGAAGAAGAATCTGCAAAATAAGCCAAATCAGGAATGTAGTGTTACCTCAGCCAAGGTATGAGACTGTTTCAGGAGGAAAAGAAGTGATGAACAAGTGAGCAAATGTATTCTCTCAGAAGCAAAAACTGAATTAAGGCCAAAATTGTCCATTGGATTTGGTACTAAGGAAATTGTTGATGACCTTGCTGAGAGCAAGTTTAGTTGAGAACTGAGGAATTAGTCTTAGGATATGAATGGAGACAACTCATTCCTTTAAGGTAGTGTCTTGTCTTTTTGCCTTTTCATACTGTTTATGGGGTTTTCAAGGCAAGAACACTGAAGCAGTAGCCGGAGACCTGTACAGTAGTTGAGTTGGATTTGAGCTTACCTGGAAAGTTTTGTTTTAAAGTTAAGTGGCTTGAACGTATTTATTATTTAACTCCTGTAGGAGAGAATGAGTAGAAATTTGAAAGATGGAAGAAGGATCAGTCTTGGTACTATTACTGCTAAGTGAGCATAGAAAATAAATTTGATTACTGAGTTGAACAAATATGAGGAGCCATGGCTTATGCTTAATAAACACTTAGAAGCTTAATTTACATCTGTTGTGGGAATCAAACTGTCTTCTCTTTTGTCTACATGTTCTTTTTTTTCTTAGGAAAACCATCTACAAGAAAACCAAATTATAATCTGAAGGCCACTTTTAAACATGGAATCAGCATGGGGAGTTAGTTGGATGTTTATAATAGCAAGTGAAATCAACCCTTTAATGCATTCAGCTTCACTTCAGGGCCGTGGATCCTGCATGGACTGATTAAGTAGTGCCCCTGGTTAGGGCCTGCTCTCTTTTGGGCAGTGTTTGTGATTCCTGCCAATTCTTAACTCTCTGGTCTCCTTTTTCTCCATGAATACTCTTTCTATGGTCTATTCTTTCTGTATTAATCCTATTTAGATTTTAGGTAAGTCTTTCTGCTTTTCTCTAGACACTGTTTTTCTTTTAGTGACTTCTACAACCAATAGAATTTGACTTATTCTATTAGGTGTTAATTTTATCAATACAGCTTTGAGTTGGGTAATGCTTGTAGTATCACCTATAATATTTATATAAATCAGTCATAAAATTATGTAAATATTTGTGATTTCAGTTATTTTATGGCTAGCATATTTTAGATATAGTTGGCATACTGATCAAAAGAAGAATGGCAAGCAGTCAATTTTTAAGTAATATTTTTATTATAAAAATAGATAATTTATAAAGTTCAAAATTTTGTAAAGAGAACAAAATTCTTCCGTGATCTACTTAAAACATTTTGTGTATAGGCTTTCATTTTTTTTCCCAAATATCTTTTTCCCTGCCTCTCGTAAAACTGGAATATGGCCTTCTAGTCTTTTCTTAATGTGTTACGAGTATTTTGTACATTATTGTATTTTCTTTTATAAGATTTTCAATGCTTATTTAGATTCAGAACTTTTAATTCACTGAATTTGTATATTGGATATGAGGATTTTGTGAAATACCCTCATAATGAAATTTTTGTGCACGACACATATATTTTCCTTAAGATGCATTCCTAAAAAAGGAATTTACTTGGTGAAAAGAGGAGTGGTGAATATTTATGTTGTTGTTAGCAATATATGAGCATGTCTGTTTTACTTCATTGTCATCCTTTAATGGGAATGTGTTATATGTTTTGTTAATTTAACAGAATAACCATTTTAGTTTGTATATTCAAATATTACAAATATGATTGAGTAACTTTTCACATTATTGGCTGTTAAATGTGTTAGTGCGTGTAAATTGCCTTTCATTAGTTCTTTTTGTCAGGGTGGGAGTGGAGAAAGGATAGTGTTAAGCTTTTTTTTTTCCTCGAAGAGGAATGAGAATGTTAAGTTGTTCCAAGGACATCTGTCAGTTATCTAAAAATAAAATCAACCTTTTAATCTTTCTGAAGGATGCATTTATTCATTTTTTTTATTTCTTAGCATGACTATATGAAAGAAGAAGAAGGTTTTCCTGAAGATGAGGCGACTGAATCGGAGGAAAACCTTAAGTTTGGTGAAAGAGTTGGATGCCTTTCCAAAGGTTCCTGAGAGCTATGTGGAGACTTCAGCCAGTGGGGGTACAGGTGAGTGTCAGTTCAAACCAAAACTCCTTCAGTAAGTTCATCTGTGTTATCATGGTAGTGAGGGTGGTGGGGGCGCGTTGAAGGAATGTTTAAGGTGGGGTTGTTGAAGGAATGTCCATGAGGGAGGAGTGTATGCATACGTATAGTTGATTCACTTCATTGTACAGCAGACTCTAACACATTGGAAAACAATTATATACCAATAAAAAAGAAAAAAGGTTAAAAAAAAACTTTCTTTCCAAATAAAAGAACTTACAGAAATGTATCTATGAGGAAGAACTCATCAGTGAATTTTAAAGTAACTTTAAACTCATCAAAGTAACTTTACAGCTGGTCTGTCCTCATGTCACACTATTTGCCTTAAATTTATTCTTCTATATATGCTTTTTGGCATCCAACCCAGTGCAGCCTATGCATTTAGCAGTGTTTATTAAAGCATAACTGAACAAATTAATTCAGTTATACTGCTTTGGTGCTGTTGAATTATTATTAAAGGTTTTTATATGTAAATAGAATTGAAGTTATTTAATGATGTTGAAACTGCCTTAGTCTGTTTTGGTTAAGAATAAGTCACTTTAGACATCATAATAAAATTCTTAAATTTCACATTACTGAAGAAAGGTAGCATAGGGTAGTAAGTTAAGAGCTTAGACTTTGGCATCAGACTATCTGGATTTAAATTCCACCTTTGCCTCTTCCTAACTACTTGATCTTCAGGAAGTTAACCTGTCTATACTTTAGTTTCTTCTTACACAAAATGGGGATGTTATCAGTGTTTACCTGGTAGAGTTGCAGTAGCAATTAAATAAGTTAATATTTATAAAATACTCAGAGCAGTGCCTGGTACAGAGAAAGATATTTGTTCAATAAAATAAATTAATAATGAAATATATCAGAAAAATATGCCATTATAACAGTTATTTACTATAACTTTTTCCTATGTGAAGAACTACTAAAACAATATATTTCTTATAAGATTCACATTTCATTTGGTAAAATTTATAGTACATTGGTTGCTATTTCTAATCTCCTGTGATTAACTTTTGTTAATGAACATAGTACAAGTTCTTGTTACACCATCCATTTTAAGTGTTTTTTGTCATAGTAGATGATAGTTCTTTTTCTTTTAATTAGATCTTTTAAAATGAAGTGAAATATTTGGGAGATTTCTAAGTAGATAGAATTTTATCTATTTACATTGGTAAGTAGAGATAGAGATGTTATTTGACTTTCTGGCACAGATTGTGAACTCTCAAGATTTAAGAAATTAGGCTATTTTTTTGTTATTTTAATTGGACTACAGCATGGATACCATTTTTAATTATGAAGGGACTACTTTCAAATTTGTGTTGTGAAACTTATGCTTACTTTCATCATTTATCATGTCTGTGACATTGCTATTTGTAACAAGGTAAAAGTTTTGTGTCTGTGTAATTTTGACAGATCCATTTAGTGAGAAATGTCCTTAATACTGAAGAAATAATATCCTTTCTCAAAAATGCAAATGTTTGTGTTCATTAAATCTTCATTTTTAAGTTGTTTTAGAAAAACAGTATTTTAAGAAAAATCTTTTACAGTATTCATTCACTTGGTAATCACATTAGGGTATTCTTTGCTAATTTTAATCCCAGTTTATCTTGTTGTTTACCTTTTAAAAATTGTTTTAATTCTTTCTTTTTTGTTGGTTTCTCAGTTTCTCTAATAGCATTTACCACTATGGCTTTATTAACTATAATGGAATTTTCAGTATATCAAGATACATGGATGAAGTATGAATATGAAGTAGACAAGGATTTTTCTAGGTAACTTTTTATTTTTTGAAACGCCTTTAGATTTAAATTGTTCTGAAAATAACGTTTTAATTTTTATACAGTTTATTTTAATTCTGAAGAAATAGTCCTGAAAAATTCTCATTATGCTTTAGGTAAAATATTTTAGAATCATTTGAATATTGGTTAAATTATAAAAGAGAGATTCTCTGATTGTTTATACATTTGTTTAAAAAGGTTAGGAGAACAGAATGTATTTTTTCTTAGAAGCTGAAAAGATGGAAATTGTCTGATGTTTTGAGATTGTTTACTCTTTAGACTTTGAAATATCTTACTGATCTGCATGAGCTGGAAAACAGGTTCTGGTAACATTGTTTATACTTAAAGCTTGATTGTTGTAAATTATGTATAAACTATATTTTAAGGTAAACATCACTTTTAAAGCTTTGAAAATAATAGTATCTTAATTAGGAAACAAAACATACTTTATTCATATCATTTGGATTTTTTGATTGAAGATAACAGGTTTATAACATGTAGGTTGCACTACGTGTTTCCTGTGATTCCAGTCCCAGATTTGCCAGTTACTTGGTGTGTGACTTTCGAGAACTGACTAAATCTATATCTGTATGTGCTTCAGTTTTCTTTTCTGTAAAATGGGGATAATATTTATAATATTTTCCTCTTCAGATCAATGAGAATTCAGTCAGTCAACATTTGTAATAGGTCCTGTGTAACCCTGGGCACGTCATATAGCTGGCTTCTTTTGGGCCTTAGTTTCGTGATTTGTAACGTCAATATTATTCTTAATGCCATTAGTTTTTAAGGAATTTGTTGTTTTTCTTATTTGTTTATTTATTTTTTTAGCCCCAATGAAACACTTTTTATTCTTTACAAATGAAGTCATGTAGTTCACTTCAAGTGTAATGGGGATGCCCAAAAGTCTGTCCACTTGGCTTCATCTTCTGGTTCTTATAAAATCTCGTGAGCCTAAACTCCAGGATTATTTGAGTACAGTTTGAACTCTAGACAACTTTAAGACTACATGAAATTCTAAAAATCCATACTCTCTGTTGAAACCAGATGAAAATTATTAGGGTGAAAAAAAGTTTTGATAGGAAGCACAGGACAGACAGGACTGATACTGATTGTACTCATTCTGTTATTCTTGGTGCTTAATTCTTTTTGAAAATTAATTTGATTTGAACTGATCATTTGAAAGTAAGGCATTGGGTGAGTCTTTTGAAAAGGCCATGCAAAACTTTAAGAATCAGATTTCTTTTTTTCTAGTAATTTCGGTACATTTATTTTGAGTCACACAGACCTAGTTTCCAATATGCCACTTCAGTGGTTATCTGGTCTTAAGCTAGGCGTTTGTTTATACTTCTGTAAACACCATTGCTTATCTGTAGAACTGAAGCTGTCCATTTATAGGTCCACGATAAAGAATAAAGATTGTGGTGTTTGTAGCATGTCAGGCATAATGCTAGATGTATGGTATTTATTTGATAAGGGAAGGAAGACTTTCAATTCCTACCTTTTGATTTTGAAAGTTTTACGTTCTTTAGTCACATAGTCAATATAAAATTTATGTAAACAGAGGTTAATACTTTTTTCTGAGTTGCTTAGACTTCTCAGTTGTAAACTTGCCATTAAATTAAAGGATACTGTGTTAAAAACTTGTAAGTCAGAATGGCTTTTGGAATAATTACAAAATAGAATTTTTACTTTTGAAGAGCCTTTGTTTTGGTCATATGAAATGCTATACAAGTTCTAATTGACATATTCTGTATGAAGTCCAAGTTTTTCATAGATCAGTTGATTTTTATTGCTCATGTTTTGTTGATCAATTAATAGATTATAATGTTTCCTTTTCATTTTTTAGCAAATTGAGAATCAATATAGATATTACTGTTGCCATGAAGTGTCAATGTAAGTACACCTTTAACTTGATGAATGCATATATAAATTATGGTTTAAATAATTGCTAGTAAAAAGTAAAAAATACTGTTTGTTTTAACTTTATTTTCCTTTTATGATATTGTAAAATACTGTTGTAGTGTCATTTAAAAATGCAAATAAGAATGTGTTTCTCTACAGCTTGTATTTTTTAAATTTCTTCTCCATGAAGAGATTTAACTTTTACAATAGTATGATTAAAATGAAAGAAAATTGGAGGAAATTTTGATAAATCAAAGTTCTAGTTTAGGTATATCCTGTTTGGAGGTATTTCTTGTTTGAAGTACCAGTTTTTACACCCACCTTCCACGAACATATTCTGTCACTGTTTCAGTTCGCAACCCTTTACTTTTACTTTTGCACACAGATTCAGATCTTTTAAGTTAATGGTGGTGGTACCGTTTTCTATTTTCTTCACTGGCTTCACTTAATTATACTGATAGAAGTGAAAAAATGCTTTTATTCCAGATAGATACTGTTTGAATCAGTATTGCTCTCAGAAATGAGGATGCTTTTTCATCTTAAATTGTATGGTAAAGTACTGCTTGAAAAGTAGAGACCAAGAATTCAGTAATTCAGACAAAATTTTTTAAAGTTGTGAATTCATTATATCCAATTAAGGAAATTAATTTCTAAAAGATTTCATCTAAATCTGTTTCCCTTTTCCATTTATATTTTCTTATGTTAGTGGTTTTAAGATAAAAGAAATATTTTTTATCTAAACTATTGAGTTAGTGTTAATACTTAATTATCATATTTTGCTTTATTATAGATGTTTGAATACCATTAAAATTTTACCCTTTTCAAAATAAATTTTCCCTATTTGTTAACTATTTAAATGTCATCAGTAGCTTTGCCTTAAGATTTTAATCTCTAAAAATAATTCTTGTCATTAATATTTTGTTCAGCAGCCATTTAATACTATGATTAGTTGATTGCCAAGTTTTGCAAATTTCTTCAGTTAAGTTTATACTATTTTTACTGTGAGATTCCAGGTCATCTTTCTTACTGAGTAAAAAGTAGAAAAAGCATTATTAATTTTTGGAGTTATTTCCACCGAAACTGTATAATACTACTGTTTTAACTTGAATAAGTAAGCAGTATAGGAAAGTGATCCTACATATTTGTGAGTTTTCTGTTATTCATCTTAATTTGTTAGTTTGGTTCTGAGCACAGAATATAAAACTTCTAATTTTTTTTTATGCAGATGTTGGAGCAGATGTATTGGATTTAGCAGAAACAATGGTTGCATCTGCAGATGGTCTAGTTTATGAACCAGTAAGTTTGATTCACATATCATTTTCAGTCGTATGCTTTGAGGAATTTTTTTCTTGAAAACAGTTTTGATATTTGATTAGTTTTGTCTGAGCTAGTTTCTTAAAAATACATTTTCTTAATTCAGAAGTCATGTATGACAATGTAAATCAACTATACTTCAATAAAAAATAAAACAAGAAAATAGAAGTGATACATATCTTTTGTAGACATTTAGGGGAAGAAAAAAGTTATATTTGATACTAAAGTCTTGAGATGACTATTGTTAGCATTCTGGATAAGCCTCTATAACAATAACCTTGTACTTATTTTGTATTTTTTGTTAATTCTTCCTAACAGTTTCCTTATCTCTTTTATACAGTTGCTAGAGTGATGACATTCCTTTTTTTCTGATGATTTAGAAATTCTGTGTCCTATTTGTATTCTTCTTTTACCAAATTTAAGTCCTTAAAAATGTCTGAGCTATATTTCTCATGTAATCAAGAATGAAGCAGTATCTAACAGGAGAATTTTATATGCATTTACTTTTTTCACCTACCTTCACACCTCCATTTCCCAGACCCAGTGAAATACTGACATTGTCTTATCGTTTTCATCACATAAGTTGTGTGTAGTAAAATTAATCTGTCAGAAGACACCAGCACATTACAGGGGCAGATGTCACATTTAGGGCAGGTGATAACAGGTCCTGATCAGAACTAGGCCTGAAGAAGCTTTAGAGAAGAAAGTACAGAACTCCCAGCTAGTTTGCCTGCTGGCTACTCTGTTGGCTTTGTGGTATGTATGTTTACTCATGCATTCTTGAGTTGTTTTGTTTGCCATTGACAGTTGTGAACTCTCTATAAACAAAATTGGAAAGTGAAGACTAAAGGTGATGGAGGATTAGAAGTAACTGAATGTGTGGAGGAGAAAAAGGAAGCCCTTAGGTTAGTTTTGATTACCAAGTTATTTTTAGTTTATAGCCATAAAATGTATTTATGCCTTTTCATACACACTTTTTTAAATAAAATTTTCTAAAGGAAAAGTAACTGTTGTTAGTGCCACTCTGAACTTCTCTACTTCCTAACTCCTCTGCTCCACTCAAAAAATTGGTATCACAGTAATTTTTAATGAGGTTAGTTACCTTACAAAGTCAGGTACCATGTTACTGCATACTTTTATCTGCAAGTTTAGGTGGTGATCATTGTCAGGCACATTCACATTTACATTACATTTCGTACTATTTTAGGAATAATTCTTCAACTTTCACTGTGTTTTACTGCTTTTATTTTCTACTCTTTGTTTCTTTATTTTTGTTTATCATTTTTTAAGGGACTTTGGTGACTTCTTTATCACGGAAAGAATATTGGGATGGACATGTACACTCTGCTATATTTAAAATAGATAAACAGCAAGATCCCACCCTATAACACAGGGAACTCTTCTCAACGTTATGTGGCAGCCTGGCTGGGAGAGGAGTTTGGGGGAGAATGGATACATGTATATGTATGGCTGAGTCCCTTTGCTGTCCACCTGAAACTATCAGAACATTGTTAATTGGCTATGAAGTGAAGTCGCTCAGTCGTGTCCCACTCTTTGCTACCCTTTGGAGTATAGCCCACACAGGCTCCTCTGTCGATGGGATTTTCCAAGCAAGAATACTAGAGTGGGTTGCCATTTCCTTCTCTAGGGGATCTTCCCAACCCAGGGATCGAACCCGGGTCTCCTGCATTGCAGGCAGATGCTTTAACCTCTGAGCCACCAGGGAATTGGCTATAGTCCAGTATAAAATAAATTTTTTTTTTTAAGAATATGTGGATTATGTTTTATGACAGGCTGCCATTCTGTCATTCTGTTCTTCATACATGTAAAGTTGGTTGAGGATAGAATTCTTGCTTTATAATACTTTGCACTCAAAACTTTGTAGACATTCCTTTGTTGCCTTCTGGCACAGTATTTTTTTCCTTGTAGGGAATGTATTTATCTACTTACATGCTTTCTTTACTTTTGAAATTCAAATATTTATCCTATATATTCAAATGTAGATCTATCTGCTTTAGTTGCTTTTGGCTTCTGGTTGTAATTAGTGATCTGAATTTTTAAGTCTTTTTTTGGTTGTTGGTTTGCTTTAAAGATGTTCAGAATAATACTTTTGCTTCTGCTTTTAAAGATTCTTACCAAATGATGTTGACTCTCCTGGAGTGGTTTTCAATATTTTATCAACTCCTGCATAAGATGCATATTTTGAACTTTGCCTCTGACTTCTCGATCACTCTTTTTTTTCAATGCCTTCATTATGTTTTAAAATTCAGTGATTATACTTCCCACCTCTAATATATTGCAGATCACTCCATTTTTGATGTTAAATCTCATTGAGAAATAATTAGAAAAACTTTTCTTCTTATTTTTAGAAATGGTATCATAGAGGAAAATTAGGCCTTGGACCTCAGATTGACCACATCCTTCAGATTAATGAATCTTTTTTGTCTGTTCTCTTGTTTTCCTTTGGGTGGGAGAATGCACGGCCATATGACTGACGGGGAGTTGGAGTAGACTGTTGGTCAGCTCCCTTTCCTCCCCACCCCGGCTTTTTTTTTCCCAAACCTAAATGAAACAAGAAGGATATATAGTTTAGATATGCTGTGTTTCTTCTAAGTAAAATTAAAGCTTCAGATGTTTTTGAAAAGAAAGGAAGAAGTCACACTGGGTTCAGGATGGCAGAGTGCTTCACTAGGGCATCACAATATTTCTTTTCCATGTTTATTTTTTGATAGGTTAAATTTAGCTAAGGTAATTCCTTTTTTGTTTACCTGGTGTGACTGTCCTCACTAGCAGGCAGCTGTGGCAGTGATGTTGCTTAACTTACGTTACTGCCCAGGTCACACATAAGCTGGGAGTAGTGCTGCTGTGGAATGCAGTCTCTGGTGTGGATCGAATTCTTAGAAGTGTTCTTAGGATGACGCTGTCTCTTCCCCAAGTGTGTTATTGTCTTTTATCACCTGTTTCCTGTTACTGTGAATTGGCAATTTAATTGCTGTTTACATGAACTTTTCTTGGGTCATGAAATTAATTATGTGTTGCGCTGTTTTCTCAGTTTAGTCTCCCTTGTATGCTGGCTTGCATAAGTTTTTAAAGATTTCCAGCAGGTGGATGCTAATTTAAAATAATTTAAAACAGTGATATAGTTTGTGTCCTCATTTTTCTATTTCTTTGAACATTGTGAGGATTTGAGGAAATATCTTGAGCTTATCGTCTGAAATTTATTTATGTTATTTTCTAGCAGTCTCTCCATATTCTGAGTGTCTGTCACTCTTCACATTTATTAAGTCTCTGATTTTTTTTTTAATGTATGTTTTTTCTGGATAGCTTGTCTCTCTAGCTAGATGCTAAACTCCTGAGAAGAAATTGCGTGATTTTTTCTTTTTTTATAGCTCACAAAATGTAAAGCATAACGCATTACAGATACTAGACTCTGATGGATATGTTAGAATTATGTAATTGTGGCAAGATCATTGATTATTCCATTGTAACAGTTTCTGCCATTTCTTTCAATCATTTGTAAATAGGAAAGTTTTATTTTAACTGTCATATAATAAAAGTCATGTCTTAGTCATAAAGCTAGAAACTTAAAAATATGTACACTTCTTATATGTGTACTTAAAAATTATATACTTTTTATCAGTAATTTTTAAAATGTTTAACAATGTTTCTGGTAAGTATTCACTTCCTTGTCCTAATTTATATTAAAATATTTGAGAATATTATTAATGTAAAATTACTTGAGATAATTTTTACTTGTCTTTAAATTTTCACTCAATTCTTTTAATATGCAGTCTGAATATAAAAACTTAATTCTCTTAATTTTATAAGTTTCTAAACCATGATCACATTATGCTATGTGATAGCTATTATTTATTTAAAGAAAAGAACCACTTTTAGGGATGTGAGAAAGTGAGAAATCTGAGAATTGGGCTTATACACTGACCGTTACTTCCTGTGATTTTGAAAAAATTGAATTCTTTTTTATATATAAAAGAATAATAACAAACTCACAAGATGGTTATGAAGATTGAGGTACTAATTTAAGTAGCATGTGGCCTGGCACAAAGGCAGTCTGTGGTTCTTTACCTGCTGTGTTAATCGCTATGTTGAGCAGTTTGGGGATACCAAAGGAAAAAATCGCATAGTCCCTGCTACAACAGTTTTATTCACAAAGTAGTTGGGGAGCAGGCGCATGTAGCCTCATCTGTTTGCCTTGGTGTGTTTTTTAGATGCTGGCATTTTCTCTGTGTTCCATGGTGTGAAAAGGTTGCAGGAGGAGTAACCAAAGTAATTTCATTGTAATCAGGGAGAGGGGGGAAATTTAACCTGGAACAAATGGTGTATAGAATGTAGACTGACTTTAGGGTCGCAATTACAGGAGAGGAAGGCTCCAGGTTAATGTAATTAAATAACCAACGGCACAGAGTTAGAGCTGTTTGATGGAATGAGGGGTTAAGACCAAGGATTTGTAGAGAAAGAGTAGTAGGTTAAGGCATGTTATGGAGGCATCATTAATAATAATGATGAGTTAGAATGTAGGATTAATATGCCTAGTTATGAATTGTCTTTATAAATATAAAAGGTGGACTTGCTATTGGAAAATTAAATTATGAGCATTGCCACAAACCATGAGAAGCTGGCCTTTTTCCCTCTGAGTCTACAAAATAACAAAATTTGTCTTTGAATTGATGAAAATAGTGCCTAGATAACATTTCTTGAATTATTCTTTTTTGGTTAATACATTTGGGGATTACAGTGACATTGTTTAGCTCGTTTCAAAACTTTATCGTGGTAAAATACCATGACAAGAACATAGGCTTTGGATGCTTGAATACTGTACTTAAGCTGTATGAGTTTTTCATTTCTTCTTCTTTTTTAAATGCTTAAGTTTCTTGCTGGCATCATTTAAATGATTTTAAGCCCTAAATTACCATTTTGTACATGTGATAGATTACATTGTATCCATTACTATAAATGTAGGTTTCTATAGCAGGAAAATATTTGCAGTTAGTAAAATTTCTGTATACTACTTTTGAGTATAAGTATCATATATTTAAATTTATTAGTTTGACTTATGGAAGATTAAATGTAAATTATGAATACTTATTTTTAACGGCACTATAAATTTGTTCCTTGCTCAAAGAAAATTGTTTTAAATTATGATATTAAAGCTGGGAGAAATTGACAGTTCTAGTGATTATGTTTTGCTTTATTTCAGGCAATATTTGATCTTTCACCACAGCAAAGAGAGTGGCAGAGGTAATAAGTAAACAAAGTATTGTGGTTCATAGAAATCTAGATCTTGCTTTGTTTATTTTGTCTACTGTGAATTATTTATAGATTCCCTGTAGGCATTTGTTTGAATGAAATATTAGCAGAATATAGTATATAATACAGTCTTTACAATGTCAAAAGTTTTATCCAATCTTTGGAATGTCATATCTTTTCTCTAATCCACTTTGAACCATAAATACATTTTATTTTACATTTAAAATTGTATTATTTATTTAAATATTTTAAAAAGCACATATGATCAAATTTGAATATAAAAAATATTAAGTGAAAATAGAAGCCTCCTCATCATTCTCTAAACCTAGTACCACTGATGAGTGCTAATAATCAGTTTTCTGCATGTTGCTGTATTTGCTTATGTTACTCTTTTCCTAATACAAATGGGGTCATTCTATACACCTGTTTTATAACTTGCTTTTTCCAATCTAACCTTATATTTTAGACATCTTCCCACTTAAGTATATACAGTGGTATATTTTATTGACAAACTATAATAATTTTTGGATACTTATTGATGGGCATTTAGATTGCTTTCAGGTTACTAATATCAATGCTCAGTGAAAATTCTTTTTTTTTTTTTCCAGTGAAAATTCTTGAATCTAATTTCTCATGTGAATATATGTATATGTTCCTTATGTACTTGTGTAAATATATGTATATAAAATTTCTAGAAATGAAATTTCTCTTGTAGAGAATATATAATGTTTTGATAAGTTGTCACATAAGAAAAAAACATTTGTAATGATGAGGTGGTGGTTGTTAATTAAACTAATTGTGGTAATCATTTCACAGTATATATGTTTATACCTTAATCTTATACAGTGTTATATGCCAGTTATATCTCAGTAAGATTGGTAAAAAATTTTGATAGATAATGCCAAATATCTTCCCCAAATAGTGTCATTTATATTCCACAACTATGTGAGAGTACTGTTTCTTTAACCTCACCAACAGTGGGTATAATCAGACTTTTTTCTTTTTGCCATTTTGATGGGTGAAAACTGGTATTGCACTTTTAAATTAGCATTTCTTTATAAATAACTGTATATCTTTGAATTTTTTTTCCCCCGTTTGTTTTTTTTGTATGAAACTCCTTGTTCATGCCATATGCCCATTTTTCTTGGTCATTGGGTTTCTTACTACCATTAAAGAGTTCTTTGTATATTAAAGAAATTACTTTTTTATGGTAAATGGTTACTACATCCCTCTCTGTCCTTTCTTTTTGGTTTCTAGGCTGTGTCTTGTGTTTAAAAAGGCATTAACCAATTTAAGATTATTAAAAATAAATTTTTTTACTCATCCTCTTCTTTCTTTTTAGTCCTAAGTATTGGTTCATTTCAAATGCCTTTCTCTTTTAATTTCCACTTTCATCATTTGGAGAGATTTTAAAATGAAAGTTGAGACAAATGTAGTTGAACAAAATAACTTAATATTAGGTGTCTCTGGGCTTCTAGTCCTTTTAGTAGAGAGCTGTCCAGGAATGAAATGTATTACTTTATTCTAGAAATGTTAAAAGTTATAAGTCTGCTTTCATCTGGAATTTTATTTAGTTTTCAAAACTAGTAATAAGTGAGAGACAAGATTGTGTTTTTACTATTAAAATTATAAATATGTTCGTGTACAGTTTTCTATTTTCCATCATAGTACACTTTTTCATATCTCTTCATCCATGGAATATTATCTCAGGTATTTACGGGCCTATTTGAGGCACACACACATGGTTTGTTGTCATCAAGCTCTTTTCACACACACACACACACACACACACACACACGAGTTTGTTGTCATCAAGTTCTTTTCACACACACACACACACACACACACACACACACACACACACACACACGAGTTTGTTGTCATCAAGTTCTTTTCCCACTGTCCAAGCGCTAAAAGTTGAACTGTGGAAATATATGACATGCAAAAATATGAAGGTTTCACTTTCTGTAAGTTTTTGAGTTTCTGTACATACATATATCTAAAGATGAAACCTAACCTCTTGAAGCTTCCTAAATTATTGTGTTCTGCTTCCAAACAAATATTTGTGAATGGACTAGAGATGCCTAAGGCCTAACTGAATAATGTGCATACCAAAATGTTCTTTTCCTACAGAATTTGCTTAAAGATATTTAAGTTTTCTTTCAGTTGTTCTGCTTTCTTAAATATTTAGGATCCCAACTAATCTTTTTCCTGAAGTAGTAAATCTCAAACTCTGGCCATAGCCTTCCTGATTACAGCTATTTATTTCTACTGATTTTACAGTGTAAAAATGACCTTTTATTTTAACTAGGCCTGTTTTACCAGTGTCCTCAGTGGGTGATACATATGTATTTTACCTCTCACTTGCCCTTCTAGAAAATGTTTATTATTATATCATGATAGGATGTAAAGTATATACTGATTTATACTTGCTTCTTCAGGTGCTTGTTTGTTTATATTTTTCAGAATTATTTATGTATGTTTATATATGTTTAAAAACTTTCTATGAGTATTTTTAGGTTCACAGCAAATTTGAGTGAAAACTAGAGAGTTCCCAAATATACCCTGTCCCTTTATATGCATGGCCTCCGCCATTATCAGTATCCTACACCAGAGTGGTACATTTCTTCCAGTTTATGCACCAGTATGAATACATCCTTATTGCCCAGAGTCCGAAGTTTACATTAGAGTTCACTCTTAGAGATGTCCATTCTGAGTTTTAACAGATACCTAATGACATATACCCACCATTATAGTATCTGTATTTTTGCTGCCCTGAAAATCCTGTTTTGTCTGTTCATCCTTCCTTCCCTTCTGGGTTATAAATTTTGTACTAGCTGAGTTTGAGCTCTAATAGACTTTGGATGTTAGTTATATAAAGGTGTAGAGTTAAAGAAGGTAAAATAGGATCATATCTTAAGATACAAAGTTATTACTGAAAATGGTAGAAATAGAAGTAATACTTTTATTCTTGGTCTTGTTCAGAATAAGTAATTTCATGAGTTGTTGTAAATGTAAGAATTTAGTTTAAAAAAATGTCTTCAAACAACTTTTATTTTGGCTAAGTATATTTAAAAAGAAAATCTAAGCATGAGTTCTCAAATGTATAATAAGCTCTCTGTAATCCTATACCTTATATGCTGATACTCTTTTTAAAAATTACAGGTAGAATGTAATATTTTGTTTAGAATGGTCATATCATAGAATAAAGTTCAGATTACTTTGGGAAAGGCAGATACCAGGTGATGTTAAATTTCACTGTGGCCTGGTTTGTACTGAGAATTGGATGCTTATGTTGTGGATTTATACCTCAGTCATCTCTACTTTTCAGTTCAGTTGCTCATTGTGTCTGACTCTTTGTGGCCCAGGCAGGACTGAAGCATGCCAGGCTGCTTCCCTGTCCATTACCAACTCCTGGAGCTCGCTCAGATTCATGTCCTTTGAGTCAGTGATGCCATCCAACCTTGTCCCCTTCTCCTGCCTCCAGTCTTTTCCCATCATCATGGTCTTTCCAGTCAGTCAGTTCCTTGCAACAGGTGGCCAAAATATTGGAGCTTCAGCTTCAGCATCAGTCCTACCAATGAATATTAGGACTGATTTCCTTTAGGATTGACTAGTGTGATTTCCTTGCAGTCCAAGGGACTCTCAAGAGTCTTCTCCAACACCACAGTTCAAAAGCATCAATTCTTTGGTACTCAGCTTTCTTTATAGTCCAACTTTCACATCCATACATGACTGCTGGAAAAACCATAGCTTGGAATAAACATGTTTGTCAGTAAAATAATGTCTCTACTTTTTAATATGCTGTCTAGGTAGGTCATAGCTTTTCTTCCAAGGAGCAAGTGTCTTCTAATTTCATGGTTGCAGTCACCATCTGCAGTGATTTTGGAGCCCAAGGAAAGAAAGTCTGTCACTGTTTCCATTGTTTCCCCATCTGTTTGCCATGAAGTGATGAGACCGGATGCCTTGATCTTAGTTTTCTGAATGTTGAGTTTTAAGCCAACTTTTTCACTCTCCTCTTTCACTTTCATCAAGAGGATCTTCAGTTCCTCTTTGCTTTCTGCCATAAGCGTGGTTTCATCTGCATATCTGAGGTTATTGATATTTCTCCCAGCAATCTTGATTCCAGCTTGTGCTTCATCTAGAGCAGAATTTCACATGATGTACTCTGCATGTAAGTTAAATAAGCCAGGTGACAGTATACAGCCGTGACATACTCCTTCCTCAAATTTGATCCAGTCCATTGTTCCATGTCCAGAGCTAACTATTGCTTCTTTACCTCCTACAGATTTCTCAGGTGGCAGGTCAGGTGGTCTGTTATACCCATCTCTTGAAGAATTTTCCACAGTCTGTTGTGATCCACACAGTCAAAGGCTTTAGCGTAGTCAATAAAGCAGAAGTAGATGTTCTTCTGAAATTCTCTTGCTTTTTCTGTGGTCCAGTGTATGTTGGCAATTTAATCTCTGGTTCCTCTGCCTTTTCTAAATCCAGCTTGAACATCTGAAAGTTCTCGGTACATGTACTATTGAAACCAAACTTGGAGAATTTTGAGCATTACTTTACTAGTGTGTCACATGAGTGCAATTGTGTGGTAGTTTGAACATTCTTTTGCATTGCCTTTCTTTGGGATTGAAATGAAAACTGACCTTTTCAGTCCTGTGGCCATTTCTGAGTTTTCCAAATTTGTTTGCATATTGAGTGAAACACTTTCACAGCATCATCTTTTAGGATTTGAAATAGCTTAGCTGGAATTCTGTCACCTCCACTAGCTTTGTTCATAGTGATGCTTTCTAAGGCCCACTTGCCTTCGCACTCCAGGATGTCTGGCTCTAGGTGAGTGACCACACCATCGTGGTTATCTGGGACATGAAGATCTTTTTTGTATAGTTCTTTGTGTTCTTGCCACCTCTTCTTAATATCTTCTGCCTCTGTTAGATTTCTGTCCTTTATTGTGCTCATCTTTACATGAAATGTTCCCTTGGTATCTCTAATTTTCTTGAAGACATCTCTGGTCTTTCCCATTCTATTGTTTTCCTCTATTTCTTTTCATTGATCACTTAGGAAAGCTTTCCTATCTCTCCTTGGTATTCTTTGGAACTATGCATTCAAATGGATATATGTTTTCTTTTCTCTTTTGCCTTTCGCTTCTCTTCTTTGCTCAGCTATTTGTAAGGCCTCATCAGACAACCATTTTGCATTTTTGCATTTCTTTTTCTTAGGAATGGTTTTGATCACCACTTCCTGTACCATGTTCTCCATCCAGAGTTCTTCAGGCACTGTGCCTGTCAGATCTAATCTCTTGAATCTATTTGTCACTTCCACTGTTAGGTGCTCATTCGTGTCTGACTCTTTGTTACTCCATGGGCTGTAGCCCACTGGCCTGCTCAGTCCATGGGATTCTCCAGGCAAGAATATTGGAGTGGGTTGCCATGCCCTTCTCCAGAGAATCTTCCCGACCCAGGGATCGAATCTTTGTCTCCTGCATTGCCAGCAGATTCTTTACCATCTGAGCCACAAATGAAGCCCCAAAATCTGTTATGTGACCCTGTATCTGTCCTGTTCTTTTTATCTATAACACTTTATTCAGTATCTCACAAAAGCTAATAATTTTGTGATTGCTGCATATGTGCATGAAGAATGAATTTAGATGTTCAGATGAACAGAAAGTCTTTCTTGGTGGCCCTCATTCCACCAGTGATGACATATAAACAGGATCCACACGTTCATTATTGGTAGAAATTAGACAGGATTAGGGACCCCAGCTTTTAGACCTCTAGCCATACTACCTCTCTTTTCCTACTTTCCAGGAAGTGACCAAAGAATACTTGGAACTTTATTTTAGAATAAGTTTCTGTAATAATAAATACATGACTTAGCTAAGTCAACTAGCCATTGTTATTTTTCAAATACTGTTGACTTTCTCTTTGTGTCTTACTGTGTTTTTAAACTGCTGCTTGCTTATTTGTATTTAGGATGCTACAGCTGATTCAGAGTAGACTGCAAGAAGAACATTCTCTTCAAGATGTGATATTTAAAAGTGCTTTTAAAAGTGCATCAACAGCACTTCCACCAAGGTGAGATGTATATTTTAACTATGAGACTATTTACTATGGATTTACCATGACATGATTGAGTAATAGTTTAGTTCTCTGAATTTCATAGTTCTTAGAGAAAATATAATCATTCTGTATGATGAAGATGCCTTTTTAACTCTTGAATTTATGGCCTGTGATATTGATCAGGATTATCATAAATAATAATATCTTATTTTTATTTAATTTCTCTCTTTTATGTGTGTATGGTATACCTTCATATAAAATTGTACTAAGTTTTCAAAACAAATTAATTGCATTTATCATTATGGTGATGTATAAACTTTGGTTAGGAATTTCATGTTTTTATATTACTTTTGTCTCTTTCATAGATTAGAAGAACTGATATTTGGAAATGCTGTTATCATAAAAATGATTATTTAAAACTATATAGAGGTTTTACATTTGCTTAAGAAGAAAATGTTCTTTTGTATATGAAGTTAAGTGTCATGCCCTTCCCTTACCTCATTCTTTTTCCCATCCCTTCCTGTCTCCGAAAGTACCAGAAACAAATGATGAAAGTGTCTTTGTTGGACTAATAATTCTTTACTTTTCATTTTTCTTCTCTCATTAGCTTTAGTGCTCTGATTAAATTTGAAGAACTATGAAATTTTAGGTTTGTGTAAATATATATTCAATAGTTGGGCTTTCCTGGTGGCTAAGATAGTAATATCTGCCTGCAGTGCAAGAGACCTGGGTTCGACCCCTGGGTTGGGAAGATCCCCTGGAGAAGAAAATGGCCACCCACTCCAGTATTCTTTCCTGGAGAATTCCGTGCACAGAGGAGCCTGAGGGCTGCAGTCCGTGGGGTTGCAAAGAGCCAGACACAATTGAGCAACTAACACTTTCACTAACTTTTCACTTTCATATATAATTTTTTTCATTTTTGTAGTTTTTTAAAATAAATGTTTAGATTTCAAAAAACTGCTATTCTGCTTTTGACATTTAGGACATTATGTAAAAATCGATCTTTAGGATTTTTTTTCCTCTAAAATTTTCTCACCAGTAAATGATAACTACTGACTATGCTGTAAGTAATTGTAATGTATCTTGTAACAGGGAAGATGATTCGTCACAGCCTCCAGATGCTTGCAGAATTCGTGGTCATCTGTATGTCAATAAAGTAGCAGGGAATTTTCACATAACTGTGGGCAAGTATGTTCTTTTCACTTGCTGAAAATACTTTAGACAAGTTGGCAGTTTGGTTAAAAGTCAAATCTTTGCTAATTGAATAATATCTAACTAACAACTAAAGGACTCTTCAAATGTTTATTTTTGATGTCTTCACATTGTTTTGGCCTTCAGCCTCAGGATAGAAAAGACTACTGACTTGAAAAACTTCTACTTTAAAACAGAAGGATAATAGTCATGTTATCTTTCATATGTTAAAGTATAGAAAGTATAGGTAAATGTGAATTAAAACCTTCAGCTTGCCAAGTGTTGGTAGCCACAAAGCTTTTGCTTAGACATTTCGTTAATATGTTCATTTTGTTGGATGATATTAGGTTTTTTGTTTTTCCTTTCAGTGATTCTCATCAAAATGGAATCCCTAATTCAAGACAATGTTTTGATGTAGGTAGAAATGTGTCTGGGATAAAGTTAAATTAGGTGAACGTTAAAGAAAAATCTCAGATCACCTGCCTTTATGAACAGAACCCAGCACAAAAACTGTCATATGGTAAACACTTGGTAAATTTCTGAGTAAATAAATAGATTCTCTGATTATCTCTTCCCTCTTTCTCTGCTGCTTTCCCCTCACTTCTCTGCTCCTAGCTAGTTTCAGAGCTGAACAGTTCTTCATTGTAAAAAACATTGAGTATTTGCTACATGCGAAGTACCATGCTACATACGATAGATGAAACAGTGAAAATCAGAGAAAGGGTTTGCCCTTGTGCTGCTGACATTCTATGAGAGAATCTGAACTTTAAACAGTGAATTACACTAATACTTACTTAATTATAGTTGTATTGTAGCTATAAAGGAAAACTGGCTGATAAAAAACTATATAACAAGGTTGCTGGTCTACTCTCCAAGTCAGTGGAGGCTTTATTGAAGAAAAGGAACACTAATGAATGATTTGACATTTTATATGTAAAGGAGAGAATAGCATCTAGGCTGAAGGAAAGATCATAAAACAGGAGCGAGAGTGGCTGGATGGAGATTTTCTTTAATGTACAGAGAAAACATTAGACTTTGTTTCAATGTTTACAGTGATCAGGTCAAGCATTGCTTTGTTTTTGTAATCCTCCTTTTAACATTCATATTTTGTTACTGTAGCCAGGAGCTATTCTCCCCATCCCCAACCTGTAGATGGAAACCTTAGAACTTCTTCATATCATATAGTCCAACAGATAATTGTTGGCTCAAAGAAATTTAGAAGGGTTTTTTACATCTCTGGATACAAACAGTACCTATTTCAAAATTAACTGAAAGAGGGAAACTGACAAATATAGTAGGAACCTCTATATTTTGGTCTTTATTCTTAATTTCATTAAGGACATTCTTAATTTCATCACACATCTTTCTGTGTGATAATTCACATCTTCAGTAAGAGAGGTAAAATGGAAAATCATTTGGTTTGTATCCTATCCATATCATATCTGGGATTTTGAAAATAAGGAATGCCAACTCTAAAGCCCAATTAAGCAAAATGTTCTCTCCCCAATAAAATACCTGGATTCCAAAAAAGTACTCAGTTACTACTATTACAATTTGAAATTTATTAGTACGTTTGTGAAAATTTGTTTTTTCTCATTATGTAACTACATAATATTTTCAGTTTTGCATCTTGGCCCACAAAACCTAAAATATTTACTGTCTAGGTCTTTTCATGTGGCTCAGTGGTAATGAATCCACCTGCCAGTGCAAGAGACAGGGGTTCAGTCTCTGGGTCAGGAAGATCCCCTGGAGAAGGAAATAGCGACCCACTCCAATATTTCTGCCTGGAAAATCCCATGGGCAGGCTGCAGTCCGTGGGGTCACAGAAGAGTTGGACATGACTTAGAAACTAAAATAATAACAACACCTTTACAGAAAATGTTTGCTAACCCCCAGTTTATTGCATCGAGATGAATAGATTTAACTCCTTAAATCATAGGTCAAGTATGTTATATTATTTAATTCTAAGAAAATCATATAGCTTAGGAAAGATCCCCTTTCTGATTTTAATTTGTTATGTATTTAAATGTTATTACTTTAATCTTTTTTCCTTCCTCTCAGGGCAATTCCACATCCCCGAGGTCATGCACACTTGGCAGCACTTGTCAACCATGACTGTAAGCAGTTTCTGAAATTTCTTTCTGGGAAGATATCCTCGGGAAAAGTTTGTTTTAAAATTTTTAGTGCAGGTGCAAGGTGGGGCTTTGAAAGTGGGCTGCTTCTGAAAGAAGATATCTACAGGAGAAAATAAATGATTGCACTTAATGACTAATCCATTTCCTCTTGTCTTTAAGTTATCTATAAGTCTATTTAGTCATAGCTCAGAAGTTGCTGAGGTTAGGGGAAGAGCCTTAGTGTCCTTTATTTCACTCAGTACACATTTCTACTAATTTTTACAGATAATGAAGAGAATATATTTGAAGTTTCCATATGTAAATTTAAATAGGGACATTTACACACAGATATAAAGTATTCAAGTTAGTTTCATGTAATGGTTATCATAAAATTTAGTTTTTAAAGTCTCTGCTGGAGAATAAGAACAAGTAATAAATTCCATAAAAAACAAATTTGGTCACATTTAGCAGTGATGTGTATTAAAAATATATGTGATCAGTTTCATGGATATCACCCCAGTTCTTCTAACAACACAGTCCTGTTTCTATATGATGATTTGGACTAGAAAAGAATTTTTTTTTTGTTAACAGAATTAGATGTATTATTTCTTAGATGTTAAATTGTATATAATTATGAAATTTGTGATATAGCACTCCTATGTATTCATATACATTTTTCTCAAAACAATGTGGTTTTAAATACAGTGTTTTCATACCACCAAATTTTAGATACTTTCATTTGAGAATAGATAGATAAGAATATGAACTAGTCTGTAACATGTAGTTTTAAATAATTTAATGTCTCTATTTAATAGTTTCATTTTTTTGCTTCTTAGCTTACAACTTTTCTCACAGAATAGATCATTTGTCTTTTGGAGAACTTGTTCCAGGAATTATTAATCCTTTAGATGGAACTGAAAAAATTGCATTAGATCGTAAGTATTTAAAAATTACTGTTGGAATTTGCATGTATGCAAATTGTTCTTGTAACTTTGATAAAACATTTTAATTAATTCTTTTCCTAACCCCCTTGTAATAGATAAACAAATCTTTTTAAGTTGTTTAAATGGTTGATAATCATTAAGTGACAATGTTTTGTGGAGAGAATGTCCTAGTAGTGGATGAATTTGAATGTTAAAAAATGTACTGTGAAACAGAATAAGGAATTAGTCAAAAGTAAGCAGGACAAGGAGTAGAATTTAAAAGCTCTCTAAATGTATGAAAGGTTAATATAAGAGGGTATAATTGCTTTTCCATATTCGACAAAGAAATAATAAAAGAAAATTTGAATATTATAAGAAGAATTTCTTTATAGATTCAGAGTTCTAAAATGCATGCTATACTTATCATATCAGAAACATCTCTGGAGAGGTTTACAAACATCAGAAACCTGGAGTTTTTCTAGAATGGTTTGTTGTTAATACAGAAGTAGTTCAGATATTTTTTATAACTGTTTTAACCATCTGTTCCATTTAAAATTTCAGCTTAACCAAATATGAATGGATTATTTTCTTAAATTTTGTAGCACGTTATCAGTTCTCATATTTCCTGAAGATTTTTGGTTGCTTTTCTCCTTAAATACTCATATTGTGTGACATACCTTGAGGACTTCTAAAGCTTCCTATGCTTTCCTTTTGCAAAAGAAGTCTAGCCTCTGCAAAACTAATTAAGGATTTTATTTTTTTTAATTCAAATAGATTTATTAATGTACAGTATTTTACTCTGTTAGCACAGTGTTGTAATCAGATACATTAAAGATGCTTTATTTAGAATTTTCACTTTCATGAGTATTTTATGTTTCTGTTTGGGAATGTTTCACTTAAGAAAACCTGACACATGTGAGTAGAAACATTCTGAGAGTTATAAGCTTTATTTTGTGTAACCTCATGTTAAGTATTTGTTCATTCCACAGAGAAATACATTAAATATTACCTGAGGTGCACATTTGAAACATGTTGGTTAATACTTTGTTTCAGGATCCTAAAATGAACTATAAATTTTTATAAAGAAGCAGATTTAAAGATTAACAGATTACTTTTCAAAAGACTTTTGAAGTTTACTTGTTCCTAAGTTCAGGGAGACTAAGGTGTTTAGAGTTACTTTGTAAAATGCCATGAGATGAATGTCAGCAGGTTTTCAAATCTTTAAAGCATGTATGCTCTTCTCCTGCCTAATATATATTCTGTTGGGCCTCTTTTTCAAAAAAAAAATTCAGCATCACAGATCTGGTGGGATCAGGTAACTGCTCCCTCTGATATAGGAGTTTTCAAGGGTTTACTTAGCAGTGACATCTTTAATGCTGTGCAGATTTGGACAGCAAATCTTGCAACAGTATTTTCTGCCTTGCCTGGTCATTAAGTTATCTAACAGTCTTATATATTAGACAAATAATCCGTATCTTAAAAAGCTCTGGCGTTTCTTTGACCCTCATGGGTTATTATTCATTGCATTGGTACTTCACTCCTCATGGTATGAGATTTCATTTGTCTCTCCTTTTTTCCTTCAAGTCTTAATTTTCCCACACATGTGTACAGCATTGGTTGTAACCTCACCACTCTCAATTTTATCTTTTTTCATAAATACTTAACACTTGAACACCTTCTGTCATTTTCACATTACTGTTTTTGTTTATCATATAATAGAGTTATAAAACATCTAAAAAAAATAAGCACAGATTGAGCGGTTTACTTCATATCAAAGAACAACTCAAAGGATGAAAGCTCAGCTGACAAGCCAGTTATTGGTGGTAGACAAAGTTGACACCCTCTTGCTCTAATATTATCTGTGATAATATTTAGGATTTAAATTGAAATTGATTATAGAAGAACTGGCCAAAAACTGTTCGTGTTTTTGAAAATGATAGTGGTACAAGCATTAGGTGAACTAAGAAGTGGTGAGGTTGAGACAGGCTTTGGTTTATTTTGTTGGAAACTTGTCTAATGTAGTGTTAAACAGACCATTACTCTTACTTCTCCCTTCTATCTATAGTTTTACCTTTTTCTCTTCTATTCTGAATTATGCTGTGATAAGAGACTGAAAAATTGAATTGATGGAAATAAAAATTTATTTATGCTGAGCAAAAGAAGCAAGACACACCAAAGTACATACATATACTTCCATTCATATGAAATTCTGGAATCGGCAAAACTGGTGTGTAACAATAGAAGGTAGATTAGTGGTTGGGCTAGGCCAGATATGGAGGGAATGGACTGAAAGGGATTCAAAGGAACTTTGGGGGGGTGATTAAAATGTTTTATTCATGTACACAATTTTCGTAGACAATTATTACCATATGACGTGAAGTATGACACAAACATAATGAGGCCCTATCACTTACTTAACTGAAATTATAGATAAATATATCTAGTTCTACATTTTCTAGAGTGTAAGACCTAGAGAATTAACATGCTTTTTATTAAAGGTGAATTGTTTAAAATCAATAATTAGTAATATAATGCTTTTTCTGACATATTAAACCTAGAAAAGCCTAATGACTATGTAATTATAATCCCTTTAATTACATAGTGACCCCAGGCCATCATTGAGTAGTTTTTTTTTTTTTTCCTGCTATCGTATTGATTCTTTGTATTTATCCAAAGACTACATTTTGATTCATTTGGCCGAGTGGTACATAGTCCCTCAGTCATGTCCGACTCTGTGACCTCATGGACTGTAACCCACCAGGCTCCTCTGTCCATGAAACTTTCCAGGCAAGAATACTGAAGTGGGTTGCCGTTTTCTACTCCAGTTTGGTTTATTTGTCCAATGGCTAATTCAATTTTGGTTTATTTTTTTATCTTAAAAAAAACTGAAAATGTATCTTATGGTGGTTATATACTATTATAACTATTTTTATTAGTTTCTGTACTATAAGGAACTGCTTTTTTATTTTCCATATTTTATAAAAGGATGCAAATGACTGTAAAGGATATCTAACGAGGTCACTAGCTCATCTATTTTTTTGATATCTTCTAATAGATATGTGTGTGTGACTTTTATGCTTACTGAGAACTTAACTAAAAAGTGTGAATTATTGCTTTCATTGATTCTTTTATAATAGTTTTTTGTTAAACATTGTTATAAATAGCATTAAATCTCAGATTAGATGTGTTTAATAGACGAATGATATATTTGGAAGCAGTTTCATTGCTACTGGATTGATGGAAAAAACTACATTTTGTTTTTATTCTAGACAATCAGATGTTTCAATATTTTATTACAATTGTGCCAACAAAATTACATACATATAAAATTTCAGCAGACACCCATCAGTTTGCCGTGACAGAAAGGGTAAGTTGAATCCAACTGGTAAAATGATTTTTTAAATCTTGAATCTTACACACATATATTTAAAAGTTTGTATCATGTACATTGTTATTAGATGTTCATAGGACATTTAGAAAAACTGACAAAAAGATAAACATTAAATTTCAAATTTAAAAAAATTTAAATTTCAAATTTCAAGAAAGAAATTTCAATAAAGTTCAAAAGCATTAAATTTCAAAAAGTAAAATTCTTTTTTTTAACACATATATTATTTTTGAAATTATTTTCCATTATAGGTTTAAAATGAATTTTTTAAAGCATTTATAGTTCTGCTACAAAATTAGGTTGAAGTATCAGGTAATGTCCTCCCTCATTTAATATTTGGAATGCATTGATTGACCTTTTATTTTAAGCAAATAAAATATCAGAAATGGGTACTAAATATATGTTTTAGAAGAAGAAAAGAAGTAGATTTTAAAAATCTAGAATGTTTTCTGTCAATTAATAAAAAACTTAAACTATGATGATATTAGTTATTTTACTCTTAATATCTTAATTTTTAATGTTTTCCCATGTATTGGTATAAGCAGGTTTTTATCTGCCAACAGATTTTCTAATTTCACCATTATTTTTTAATTAATGCACCTACCCTGCGGCATGCATGGTTATTGTGACTTACATAGCAGGTTTAGAGGGTTTTCCTTCTTAAGTTAGGGCTTTGTATTCATCTATTAATAGTTGAGAGGAAAAACATTCTGTAACCTTAGGGTAGAGTGGCTGTATAAATATTGACAGTGAGGAGCAGAGTTTTAGAATCGGACAGTTTAACAGATTTCTCATCTACTCTGGGACCATATTTTCTTTCTTTCCTTCTCTTTTTTCTTCTTTTGTTTATTTTTATATGTTATATTTACTTATTATATTCAAATATGATAAATATTCAAATAATAGTATCCAAAAAAATTCCAAAATTTAAGTGCTTTTAAAAATTTACTTTCCTGCATATGAAATTTTCCTTTGATAATCTTATGACTCGTGTTGATTATGCTCTCAATAACTGTAGAATTTTCTTTATTCTTAGGAATCTAAGTACTGAAGTTTTTATGGATGTAGTGTCATGTGTTTATAACTTTTCAAATGGTTAAGAAGAGAAAAATCAAGTGTGTGTGTGTATATATATATATATATATAAGACTGTGTGTGTGTACACATAGAAACTAGCTAAAGTGTTTATAAGTATATATTGTGCTTGCTTTTCTGTATGGCTGGGGAGATACCATTTCTTACTAAGGTTGGCAACACTGGAAGGTCAGGCATTCTACACAGTGACAAGGCTTTGGGGAAAATGAGTGATATACATTGCTAAGAAAGTGTAAAGTGGCATAATAGCTGGGAAGGGAGTTAGACAATATCTGGAAAATGATGTATGCGTTTACCCTTTAACACAGCAATCCTACTTCTATAAATTGAATCCAAAGATACAAGAGAATAAAGTGATATGTATATGAGGCTATTAGTTGTGTTATTTGTAATTGCAGAGGCTAGAAACAACCCACATGGCATCCATACATGGGGGAGCATGCAACCTTAAAAAGAGAGAGAGAATGTACTTGTTTACTGATATGAAATTATCTCCAGGATATTTTTTTTAATAATAAAAGTAAATCAAAAAGAAAAACAAATAGAATCCCAGAGCATTTGGCCTTTGCGGGGTGTGTTTGTACTGATAGGGTAACAACAATAGTTGTGTTTCACTGTCAGAAAAAGTAACTGAAGTTGGCAGAATGGATAGATGATAAGGTCAGCACTGACCTTCATTGGTCCTGAACCAAAAGTGAACCGTTATGAGTCTTTTGTTATGTAGACACTGTGATCCCTGAAACAACATCCACTCATATAGATGGCGACAGTGTATTTATTATTTTGGCATTATATTTAACTTACCAGAACTCTTAAGATGAAGTCATTTTAAATTGGAAACTTGATCAATGGCTTATAAGGAAGCTTGTAAAGAATAAGCTTACAACAATAGTTCTGTTGTGCTAACAGGCAAAGAGATTTTGTAGTGCCCACGTGAGTTGCTATAATTTTCCTCGTTATTTGTCTTCCTGAAGCTTGTAGTTTAGTTACAGTGTAGTAGAAACAGGTAAGGCTTGACACAAAAGTCATATCAAAGCTCTGGTTATCATAGTTGTTTCATGCTATGATGTTGTTGTTCAGTTACTCAGTTGTGTCTGACTCTTTGCCACCCTATGGTCTGCAGCAGGCCAGGCCTCCCTGTCCTTCACTGTCTCCTGGAGGCTGCTCAAACTCATGTCCATTGATTTGGTCCTCTGTCGTCCTGTTCTGCGTTCAATCTTTCACAGCATTAGGGTCTTTTTTGATGAGTTAGCTCTGTGCATCAGGTTGCCAAAGTATTGGAGCTTCAGCTTCAGCATCAGTCCTTCCAATGAATATTCAGTATTGATTTCCTTTAGGATTGACTGCTTTTGAACTGTGGTGTTGTAGAAGACTCTTGAGAGTCCCTTGGAATGCTATGGTAGAAATTTATTAGAAGTTTGCAAGCTTGATTTTTGAAGTATAAACAGGATGAAACAAAACATTTTCTCACTCAATGTGCACACTGTGGTAGGTTTGTAAATTTAGTTACAGTCCTTTCAAGAAAAAAATTTCATTTAAAAACTGAACCAGTAGTCAGTCTTTCAAATTAATACATTCTTTCTTCCTGTACTATATCTCATATAGTTTAAAATGAACAACAGAAAGTGAAATTGTTTTTAAATTTTTTCAAATGACAGGAAGTAAGTATAATTATTTTGTAAATTCTTAGCAAAGAAATATTACAAAAAAGTATCTTAAAATAGGAATGTATTGGGTTGGCTAAAAAGTTCATTTGGGTTTTTCCTTATGATGCGACAGAAAAATCCAAGTGAATTTCTTGGGCAGTGCGATGGTTTTCAATGATTTGGCCATTGAAGAATGTGCCATATAGTTTTAAAGTCTTGGGTTAGTAGAGACTTTGTATGTAAAGTGGTTTTTTTGAGAAAATAGGAAAGAATGATTCAGTTCTTTTGATTGCTTCAAAAACCAGCCATACAAAGAATACAGAATAGAGAACTTGATCTAGCAGCACAATTCATGAAGAGATTTGGATGTCGTTCTTGTTCAGGAGGGCTTCCTGTTGACTGTATGCAAATAGCCTAATGACATGAATCCTGTTGTGTCTTCCTCCTCTTTTTCCCCTTCCTTTTGCCTTCCTTTAGGAACGTGTTATTAACCATGCTGCGGGCAGCCATGGAGTCTCTGGGATTTTTATGAAATATGATCTCAGCTCTCTTATGGTGACAGTTACCGAGGAGCATATGCCTTTCTGGCAGTTTTTTGTAAGACTTTGTGGTATTGTTGGAGGAATCTTTTCAACAACAGGTTAAGATTCATTCCTGTTTTTTTTTGTCTAATTTCTAAAAGTATTGCTCACACTCAGTCAAGATACTTTTGCTCCAAAGGGGCAAAAAATATATACATTTTCATGTTTTGATATTTAAAGAACTTTTTAAGATTTAATTTCAAATGTCAAAGATTGTATTGATTAAGTGTTAAACTTAAGTTCACTGCATTCAGTGACTTAAGGAATGTGGGTACGTTCCCTGGGTCAGGAAGATCACGTCAAGGAGGAAATGACAACTTACTCCATTATTCTTGTCTGGAGACTCCCATGAACAGAGGAGCTTGGTGGGCTATAGCACATAGGGTCGCAAAGAGTCAGGCACAACTGAAGGAACTACGCACACAGTGTGCTAGAGAGAGCCTAGAATTGAACCCAGGTTGTGTCATTTACACGGTGGTAGCCCTGTGTCAGTCACCTACATTTTCTAAAATTTTGTCTCTATAAAAATGGGAATAATAATATCTAACTTGCAAGTGTGTTGTAGGATTAGATGAGAAAATGCCTGGAAACAGTAGATAGTTTGAACATAAATTTTCTTTTTCAATTAAGGTATTTTTAGCAGTACAGAATATAAAATTGTATTTTATGATACATTGCACTATGAAATACGTGCAGCCAAATTTTAGTTAATAATATTTTATGAGTTCTGATCATTTTGCTTTAAGGTTATGGGATTTTCTCAAAGATAACTTGAAAGAAAAAAGAAGTGCTATATTGTGAAAGTTTAAAGTGTTAGTCACTCAGTCATGTCCGACTCTTTGAGACCCCATGGACTGTAGCCTGACAGGCTCCTCTGTCCATGGAATTCTCCAGGCAGAAATACTGGAATGGGTAGCCATTCCCTTTTGCAGAATTTTAATTGTGAAAATTTGAGTGTTAAATATAGAAAGAAAAATAAAAAGGATAAAGGAAATATTAGATTGGTGCAAAAGTAGCTGAGGTTTTTGCATTGTTGAAATTTACCATTTGATATTAGAATACATTCTAAATAAATGTGCTTATGTATACATCATTGTAATGTGCATTTCTTGCTTTATGTTTTTGGCTAATGACTTATTACTTGCTGTTTATTTTATATATATTTTAGACTATGGAAATGATGTTAGACAAAAAGCAAATTTAAGCGATTTTCTTGAGTTCAAAATGGGTTGTAAAGCAGCCAAGACAACTTGCAACATCAACAGTGCACTTGGCCTAGAAACTGCTAATGAACATACAGTGCAGTGATGCTTCAAGAAGTTTTGCAAAGGAGACAAGATCTTGAAGATGAGGAGTGTAGTGGCCGGCCATTGGAAGTTGACAGCTTCAGTTGAGAGCTGTCATTGAAGCTGATCCTCTTAGAACTACAGAAGTTGCAGAGGAACTCAACGTCAACCATTTTCTGGTCATTTGGCATTTGAACCGATTTGGAAAGGTGAAAAAGCTTGATTTAAGTGGCTGCCTATGAGCTGACTGAAAATCAAAAAATTCATTTTGAAGTGTCTTTTTTTTTTGTGCAACAAGCCATTTCTCAATCGGATTGTGATGTGCAACAAAAAGTGGGCTGTATATGACATCCAGAGATGACCAACTCAGAAGCTCCAAAGCATTTCCGAAAGCTAAACTTGCACCAGGAAAGGGGGCATGGTCATTGTTTGGTGGTCTGCTGCCCGTCTAATCCTCTGTAGGCGAAATCATTACATCTGAGAAGTACGCTCAGCAAATCAATGAGAAGCACCGAAAGCTACAGCACCTCCAGCTGACACTGGTCAACAAAAAGGGCCCAATTCTTCTCTACAACAACTTCTTCAAGCATCTTAACCACTTCTTACAGGGAAAATGCTTCCAAAACCAGCAGGAGGCAGAAGATACTTTCCAAGACATCATTGAATCCCGAAGCACAGATTTTTATGCTGCAGAAATAAGCAAACTTATTTCTCATGGCAACAATGTGTTGGTTGTAATTGTTCCTATTTTGATTGAAAAAAGATGTGTTTGAGCCTGGTTATAATGATTTAAAATTCAGTCTGAAACTGCAGTTACTTTTGTACCAACCTAAATAGTTCCTTTTTTATGCTAACTTCTGTTTAGTATTACATGGAGTCTATATTTGGAATTATATTTTTTAAATGAATGAGTAGCTTTCTTATGAAAGTTTTGGTTACTTCTTTGTTTATAACAGAGTCATTTAAATTTGTGGTAGTGTAAGATATATTAAGCACCTTTGAAAAGATTGCTTTGTCAAGGTCATGAATTATGTGGCCTTCTGATTTTGAAAAGAAGTTCACTTATTTTAAAATCCAATTGTCTTGATATTTTTAACTGTGGATGTCAGTAAAGCAAACTGTTTCCTTCCTTAACCTGTTCCATTGTAATTAGTTGAGTTTTTTATTCTGACTCACAAATTTAGGAAGTAAATAACATAGGAAGAAATTTCATTAAAAGCATAATTTAATTAAAAACATTTTGTTGTTACAGGCATGTTACATGGAATTGGCAAATTTATAGTTGAAATAATTTACTGTCGTTTCAGACTTGGAGCCTACAAACCTGTCAGTTCTGTAAGTGATACAGTGATGTCCATCCTAAGTCATATATTATTGTTAAATCTAAATATTAGCTCTTCGTGCCTGAAAGAAATTGCCCAAAATAAAGCGTTATGTTTAGAGGAAATAGTGTAAGAAATAAAACTCATACTTTGGTCTTTTTGTTCCTCCCTAGGTTCCCTTTGAAGATGGCCACACGGACAACCACGTACCTCTTTTAGAAAATAATACACATTAGCACCTCCCAAGTAAAGGAGAAGAACTTTTTGCCTGAGACATAAAACATTTTTTAATAATAAAATATTGTGCAATATATACAAAGAAAAGAAAATATGAATGAGAAGCAGAAATCAGACCTAGGGGGAAAAAAAAAACCAAACTGAAATCCTATGTTTCGTGTCTGTTACAAATGTTCTAGAAGAAATTATGCAGCTAATCTAATCAGTGAACAAGCCCAACTGGAGTATTGCTTTGAACATGACCCCTTCTGATATTTTCATAGCAGATGGGCAGTATTGAAATCAGACCTTGCTTCTTGATGACAAAGAGCCTGAAGGAAGAAGTCAAACCACATCTAAAGAAAATGGCATTGATAAGTGCAAATGTTTTCATCTCTTTGTTTTTTTAAAGATATGATGTCAGAATAAAATATGTAAAACATATGGAAAACTAGTCTAGACTTTAAAAAGTGTGGTCAGGTCACATTGTTAATAAAGGAAAAGGCGGGGTCCCTATGTTATAGCCATATTACTGTTAAGCCATAATGACAAGACCATTTTTCCAGTTTTGGGTCTTAGGATGGTAATCACTTTTCTTTAAACTCTGGCTATTGACATTTCTGATTGTTGAAGGCAAGGTCGTGAAAGACTAAGGTAAATGCTTGGAGGGGCAGATGCTGTAATATGTAACAGAGGTATCATTCACAAATTGAATAGTGGGCACGTATGCAGGGAGAAGAAAGCACATGTTTAAAAAAGATGCTAAGTTTCCTAATCTGATCCTTACTGTTAGAGTTTCCTAATCTGATCCCTATTCTTGTTAGAGTTTGGGAACAGTTTCATCACTGCTAATGATGAAAATTATCAGTTTGTAAAATATTAAGAGGAAAAGTAGCATTTTTTATGTGTTGTGATAGTGGGCAACAGGGTAACTTTAAAATAGAAGTATGAGGCAAATATTTAAGTAAGACAAGACAATGTCAGATCTGAGAGATTATCATATTAAACAGTGTCATATTAAACATTAATATGATTATATGTTTATCATATTAAACATTTTAACTGTAAAACTGTATTATGAAAGAACTATCTGCATTCAGAGTGTCCTGAATGTGATTGATTCTGTGTTAGATTGTGTTGGTCTAGATTTCTTACTATTTAAGGATTAATTTTAAATTTCTACACTATAAAAGATTTAAAAAAGAAGGGTATATCACTCAGGTGCTGTTAAAACCTAAATTTGAAATGTGTGCCAACATCATTTTTCCTTTTGTAATGCTTAATAATGACAGTAGAAGAATCATCAACCAGTTCCCCGAGGTTTAAGTCTTTTAGGGAAATGGGGAAACAAAAATTCCAGGTAAGTAACAAGACCAAGACTAAAAGACAAGATTGTAAATGGTTTTTAGAGAATAGGACATCACAAGTTAGAGCTTTTCAAATTCCTTTCTGTTAAAAGGTAAAAGGAAAAAAATGTCCTGTTGAAAGCAGTTGGGGCAGATAATGGAAAGAAGAAGAAATACTGATAAAACTACTTTATAGTAAAGCTTATATAAGAATGCTATTTTGCAAATAATAAGAGAAGCATCATTGTTTAAAATATACAGTTAATATGATTAAGAGCCATTAAGTTAACTAATATAAGTGACAAGTTTATGCTTTGAAAGATTTTTGAATTCAGAAAATTCCAAATAATGAATGGCCTTCTCATTATTTAGAAATTTCTGATTTCTTCAGATGTTATTTCCAATGAAGGTAGACTAGGAAAAGGAATTTTTAATTAGAATTTTAGCTATTTTAGACTGAATGTTGGTTCTGTGAATCTGCTTGTCAGAAAATTTGATTAAGTTTCAGGGTTATTTTAATAGGAAAAACTATTGATTTAGGGTTATTTTCTTTCAATTAGGATTATAACAGTTGAGTATCTTTAAGAAGGATTTTAAAAATTATTTTGGTACTTATATATGATTTTTAATTGTTACCGTTTTGTTTTCCAAATACCATATTAAAATTGTAATGGTATTAATCTGTCCCATTAAAACTGAGTATAAAAAGAATTTCTTTGAAGCAAAATCCTACTTTGCCATTGATTTCCATTTTAAAAGTTATGAAAGGTTTTCACCTGAAACTCCTTGAGTAGTCAGGGTCAGATTTTGGGTAATCAAAGTATTAAGATTCTGACCAGCCCTTTGTATGATGGGTGATGAAGTACACTTGTGTATTAGGATTTAGTAGCAGTTTTTGAGCTCACCAAGTATTTCTTTTCCATGGCAGAGAACACTGTACTGGCCTATCTATCTATTGACATGTACCTGGGGATGCCTCCAGTAGCATACCCAAGTTTATTACTCAGCTTTTTACTTTATTAGGGCATTCATAGTATCTATGTGTATATATTCCATCCTAAATATTTTAATATTGAGATCTGGAATTATGTGAAATGAGGTTTCTTTTTCATCTGTGTTTGCATACATTAGCCTATAAAAAGATGAAATGTTTAAATGAAAAAGATGAATAATTCTCTGCTGCAGTATTTGTACACTTCAGACTACCTCTTGGGAAAAGCTTAACTCCGAATTACACATTTCTAATTCTTGACTTAGATGATTAATATTATGCTTTTCTCATATACATTTTGATATAAAGCACTGAATTTTTGTAATAAAACTTTACTAATGACAAAGTTTATCATCTTTAATACAAGTTTTGGAATTCATAAAGGAATGACTAAGATCTAATTTTTTTAATGGTATAAAGACAGATGTTGTGCATTGTCTTTTTGTGTCTTAGGTTAGTAATTCAGGTACCAAAAATTAAATTTACATGCAGCTCCTTTGTTTCACAATTTAAAACCTTTAAACTTAAGTTAGAGATGTGTATATTTTTAAAATTACTTAACCTGAGCTTTAGGATCTTTAAAATCTCATCAGGCCTTTAACCTAGTACTTAAGCTCTTCCCTGTCTGTTTGGAGGTCTAGCAAACCTTTAAGCCAACATGAGTCACCCTTTGTCAGCACTATCCAAATAGATCACTACTTGTTCACTACCTTATGGTATGAAGCCTGGAGTAATATCCAAGTACTATTTATTTATTGTAATTCCTCCCACCCCTTTTGGGATATTTTAGTGATTAAATCAGCATTATTTTAAGAGTAGGAAACAAAATGCCTTGGATTTTTTCTTGTCATTTTTAAAATTGTTTTAACAGAAACAGAAAAGACTCATTCAGTGTCTCAATCCTAAAGATCTGGACTCAATAAAATAAATTGTACAATAATTTTTTTGTCCTTTTACGATCATGTACCCCCAAATAAGCCCTAGTTCCTCATATCTAAGCTGCTTTTTCCTTCTAGGAAAACTACAGCAATCTTTATCATTCAATATCTTTCCTTTTGCCTCAATGGAACTAAATTGCTGTATCATATGGCATTTATTCTATATTTTTCATGTTATGAGTGAGTGAGGAAAGGAGTTGACTCCAATTTATACACCTGTAAACAGATTATAATCAGCAAAACATTTAATGGTTTTGTTTCAGCAACTGCAAGTTGTATTTATCAAAAGACATGAACAATTCTTCGAAATTCATTTATGCTATGTGTAATAATTTTAATGTAAAGCCCAGAATGAGGAGGTGTGGCAAAAGGTATGCATTGATGTAAGATACATACTACATCTAAAGCAGACCTTCAACAACATGGCACATAATTATGTAGTAAATATTTTGTAAATTCTCTTCTGCTTTCAAGCAACTATACAAATTAATTGGGTGATTTCTTGTACTCACCTTTGATTTAAGATATTTTTCTAGAATTGATGAAATTGACCCAACTTCACATCTTTCCAACCCGTTTACAATTCCAGCTTGGAACTGATATTTCAAATAAAGTAGGGATACACCTAAAATATTAATCTATTTTGTATCAGAGAGCTCTTTCTAGCTGTTAACACTCAATTTCAGTTAAGTATCCATTGTCATAATTGTATCTGCACCTCACAGGGCTTCCTATCTCTCAAGTCAGTTATATCTTAAAATCGGCAATTCTAGCAATTTCTTTTATTTTTAAAAGGTAATCTAGATAGCATTTTTTCATATATGTATATGGTTCCCAAACATAATTTTTTAGATTTGCGGAAAAGTTATGTGGAAATTGGCATGTGATTCTTGTGAACTTTGAAACATTGATATTTTTAGAAACTGTTCAGTTTATTCACTCAGTTGTGTCCGACTCTTTGCAACCCCATGGACTGCAGCACACCAGGCTTCCCTGTCCATCACCAACTCCCGGAACTTGCTCAGACTCGTGTCCATTGAGTCAGTGAGGTCATCCAACCATCTCATCCTCTTGTCCCCTTCTTGTGTATTCATTCTTTCCCAGCATCAGAGTCTTTTCTAAGGAGTCAGTTCTTTGCATCAGGTAGCCAAAGTATTGGAACTTCAGCTTTATCATCAGTCCTTCCAATGAATATTCAGGACTGTTTTCCTTTAGGATTGACTGGTTTGATCTCTTTACAATCCAAGAAACTTTAGGCTGACCTAATTTAATTATTAATGCCCACTATGAGATAACACACTACTTGACTGTTAGTCCCTTCTCAAGTCAATTTTACCTTGAGATTCTAAATCAGTTATTTAAATGAGCTAAAAATTTAAATGAGTTAGTTAAATTTTATACTAACTGGAGATGTTAGGTTAGTATAAAATGGTGAGAAATGTTTTTCTGATTTGTGTGCCCATCTGCCTCAACTTTTTCTAGAATTAATTGCCTCATGTGTTGACTTTTTAATTCTGTAATGTTTGTTACTGTAATATCTTGTGGGTGCAGAATATAGGGATTGCCAAAGCATTTTAAAAGTAACCTTTTCTTTGTACTTACTGTCCCCTTCTCCATCAAAAATAGAAAGTTCTTATTGGATTGTATATATTAGACACTCAAATTATTGTTAATTGGTCTTGATATAAAGTAGCTAGGGGTTTTCTTTCATGCAGATACCTACTTTTACAGCTTAATCACACAAGGGAACTTTGTGCCATTTCTCTGATACCACAGGTAGAACATTCTTCAGCATGTGTTACCAAATTGCAAGTCCATGTGCCTGACAGTGAGGTCTGTCAATTCTAAAACATTAGAGTTTGTAACAGAGAAAGGTTTATTACAGATTCATACAAGGAGATGGGTGGCTCATGCCTTAAGAAAACCAGTTAGTGAAAGCTTTCAACAAGCCCCTTTAAAAGCAAAAGGTGAGGGAGGGGCGTGGTTAGTTGTTGCAAACTTCTTGGCATCAGATACTTTGTTCCTGAGGTCAGGTCATGATCAGGGAACAATATTCCTGTAAATCTCTACCAAACCAAAGTTATTCTCTGTCCTGTCAAGAAAGGGCAAGGTCCCAAGGCACAACTTGCATCCTCCAAGGTCCTGGTCCTGGCTAAGAGGAGGCAGATCTCAGTTGGCAGCTCCCTCAGGGCCCAGTCCCCAAACCCTGCCAAGCTGTCATCTCTGCCATGCACCCAACTCACCTTGCCCTCGGTCTCCTCAGGCTGCCCAAAAAGTAAGGGGAGACCAGGTCTCACAGAATGCAACCCAAGCAGATGGCTGTGCTATTTGGTAGCAGAGACAGGGATGGGGGAGAGGGTCACTGCTCCTCCAGGTCTGGGCCAAGGCTAGTGGAGGGCCTTAGTGAGGGCTCTGGAGCCCCGCAAGACATAGTCCCCAGTCTGGTCCCTGGGTCCTCCAGGAGAAGGCCTGAATCTGCCTTTCCACCTGATGACCACCACACCACTGACCCTTGGCTGAATCACTTCCCTAATGGTCCCTTCTTGACAGTTACTTGTGGGGCGTGCCAACTGTGGCACTTACCCAACTGTGCGGGACAACTAATGGTTTCTCACTGACAGATTGCTGCTTATGGGTGGGGCCCACTGAGGCACTGACCAATGGCTGAGCAAGACCTGTTGCCTAGTAACGGTGCAGAGTAATGAGGCACAGCAATGGCTACCTGTAAGGGCTGTGCTCATCCTGCTCTGTACCCTATTAATGGTGTCTGAAAAAACAAAGCATTGTGGGTATGTGTTAATTCATATTCATCTGGTAGTTTCTTTTTAGTTTCCTAAGGATGAGGGAGAAGATCTACTGTAGTAGTCAACAGTTAAAGATACAACACTAGAAGAGAGGAAATCAGTCTTTAATTCAAATTTTCATTTAATCAAGTCAAAAATGAATGATCAGTGGAATTTATTGAATTGGTGAAACATAATAACCGATAGTAAATTCTTAGAACTATTATGTTTTGTCCAATTTCACTGAGTTATATCTTGATTTCATTTTTATCATCTATAGTTTTTATCTTAATCAACTCAAAACATATTACACAGAAATCTCAAACTGAAGATAACCAGGTGCTTTCTTTCAGAGCTGGGTTTTCTGCCCTGGAAAGTAGTTGGCATAACTTAGATGAGATTGAGAAAGATATTGCCCAGAAAAGCCTCCCTGCCCCGACCCCAAGTGCATTTTATGGGGTTCAGAAAAATTTCCAATAATACTGGGCTAGAAGTTGCACTCACAGTTCTAGTACACTTCTACCACCTGAATGTGCCTTTCTGAGTATTAACCAATTATCCCAGGAAGTGAGCATATGTATAACTACCATTGAAGGTTTTATGCTCATATAGTTTTCTGGTAGTTATGATTATTTTTAGTTACTTAGGCCCCAAGTACTGTTATCTGAATTGTATCCCATGTTTTTAACATGAAGTGCTGCAATCTAAAATGTACTCATTTCTCAAATATGAGGAAAGTTGGGATAACAGTTATTAATATAGGAATTTGAGAACAGATTTTTACTAATTTATTTGCATTATTCATAAAATATTTTTAAAACAACACCTGTTCTCTGAACTTTGAGTCACTTAATGAAGTCTGTCCACTTCTGCTGCACATTGTACAGGTAACATTCTGCAACTGGAGTGATCAAGATACTAGCAAGTCCTGGTGAAAGAGTGAACTTCCCCACAGAAAATATGACTAGCATTTACATTTTTATTTACAATTTTACTTTTCTCAGTGCAAAGATCAGGAAAATGGGTTTTTACGTGATTTTAGCCTAGGCCTTCCTCTAACAGTCACTAATCAAAGGCCTGGGCAATATAAGCTTAAATATCAGGGATTTGGCCACTTTAATGAACAAGAAGAAAACTCTTAAGAGGAGGTAATCAGGAAAATTGATGATTCAAAAGATTTAGAAATAATAGCTGTCAAATTCAAATTACAAGAACCAGTTTTTACTTAAAAGCATAATAATCAGCCATAATGAAAATATGCTTGAGCCCTCACTCTATACACATTATTTACACCTCTTGGTTCTCTTCAGGTTTCAGATGTGGATATAGTTAAGGAAAATGTTAGATGTGAACCCACTTTTCTAATTCCCCCAGCCCTCAACCAGGACTCCATAGTATAGCACAAAAAGAAAGCAGAAACCTCCATGGAGAATTGTTTCTCTTACAGCATTTATGACAATGTTGAGACCTTTGTCTACTTATCTTGATTTTCAGCCTTTATATTAAGTACACTATACTAAATGGTTCCAGTGACAACTGCCTTTCTTTAGCATATCTCAACTTCTGCCATGTGTCCTCCTATGTTTATTGAGTTGACATTACTCCTCTCAAGGAGAACAAAGCTAAATAAGGGAAGATGGGTGTCCTTTGGTGTTTTATATTCAAGAGCACAGAATAGTGTTAAGAAACAATCTGGAAACAATTTTTCCCTAAAATTTGTATGATAATTGGCTAGGATATGACTTTTCTTCTCTCACTGAAATGAAATGAAAATGTATAGTTAAGAAATAAGGATGAATACATGACAGCACATTTGACAGGTAATAACGGGCATATTTGTCACCTAATCTTGAGAACCACAGTTGCTGTTTTAGAGGTATCTGAGAGGTTCCAGACAAAGGGAGATTGCCAAATGTTCTTAGACCTTGAGTGTGCTAGATGCCCTAAAGTAGGAGAGGAATTTGTAACAGAAGCTCACGATGAAGAACCACACATTCCGAGCCACCTGAGATCTTGCAATGAGGAGACGCCAGACGATGAGGAAGAGAGCAGTATTAAAGAGGTAGTGAATATTTCGGAGCCTGAAAACAGACATATATAACCAAAGTCAACACAGTACCAAATACCCAACTATATTACCTAAAAATAAATGTATCTTTTCCTGGCTATGACCAGCAAATAATTAAGTGTCCTCAGGCATGTGGCACTATCTGATAGCCTTTTGATTTTGATATCTTTCATTTCTACCACTTCTGAGTAATCATATTTCTACAATATTCCCCTGACTAGTTTCCCTTTCTCATACCTCTCTGCTTTAACCTGTCTTATAAACATGGCTAATATAAGCTTTCTTAAATATACTTTGATCATGGTACTGTATATCACAAATCACTGATTCTTGTTCACTAGAGGGTAAATTCTAAAGTCTCGCCTTGCTTTTCAAGGTCCCTGTCTGTTTGCAATCAACTTTTCCCATCCTGATCATCTCTGCATTAAAAACCCTTTGCTTCTACCAGAATTATGCAAGGCTGCTATAATTCTATGTTTCCTAGGGATTAATTAATTATTGAAAAAAATTTCAGGCAGTCAATGCTACTGAAGATCAGTTAATTGATTCGCCCATGTTAAATAGCATCATCAGGTTTCCTGCCTGTTGGGTATTCTTTATATCACATTATGAAAGGATATGGTAGAAGAAACAAAGTTAGATACAAATCTGGCTCCTCCGCTTACCATGTGCGGCTTGCCCACTTCCCTCCTTTGAACCTAAATAGTTCTTTGATGGAAATGGGATAACAAAAATACTACCTGCCTCATAGAAGTGTGCTGAAGTCTAAATAAACAGTGTATGATAGAATATATAGTATAAAGGCTAGAAAATATTAACTGTTCTGCTCAAATTTCATGCCTGGTATAAAATGAGCTACACATGCTAAGTACTCAATAAATGCTAACTGTTATACTTACCTTTTTAAGTGTTGCTTTGCTTCTGGGATCCCAGCCATATCCTCTTTCAATAAGTACTTCTTAACTCCTAAAACATAATTTTCAATGTATTCTAACCAGTTCAACTGACGTACATCAAAGTTGAATACCTGAAAGGCAAGAAGAGATTATGGATTGTCAGAATTCCTGGATGATCACTTTGCACATTTGATGAAGTTTCTTTTATATAAATGAGTGACATTTGGTTTGAAAGATTTATGTGATACCCCTCCAAATGAGATTATTTGAGCTGTTATTTTAAAGGCAGTGATAATATGGATTACCATGTACATAGAAATATTTAAACATTCAGTTCAGTTCAGTTGCTCAGTTGTGTTGGACTCTTTGTGACCACATGAACCACAGCACTCCCGGCCTCCCTGTCCATCACCAACTTCTGGAGTTTACCCACACTCATGTCCATAGAGTTGGTGATGCCATCTAACCATCTCATCCTTTGTCATCCCCTTCTCCTCCTGCCTTCAATCTTTCCCAACATCAGGGTCTTTTCAAAAGAGTCAGCTCTTTGCATCAGGTGGCCAAAATATTGGACTTTCAGCTTCAACATCAGTCCTTCCAATGAACACCCAGGACTGATCTCCTTTAGGATGGATTGGCTGGATCTCCTTGCAGTCCAAGGGACTCTTATGAGTCTTCTCCAACACCACAGTTCAAAAGCTTCAATTCTTCTGTGCTCAGCTGTCCTTATAGTCCAACTCTCACATCCATACATGACCACTGGAAAAACCATAGCCTTAACTAGACGGACCTTTGTTGACAAAGTAATGTCTCTGCTTTTTAATATGCTGTCTAGGTGGGTCACAACTTTCCTTCCAAGGAGTAAGCATCTTTTAATTTCATGACTGCAATCACCATCTGCAGTGATTTTGGAGCCCCCCAAAATAAAGTCAGCCACTGTTTCCACTGTTTCCCATCTATTTGCCATGAAGTGATGGGACCAGATGCCATGATCTTAATTTTCTGAATGTTGAGCTTTAAGCCAAATTTTTCACTCTCCTCTTTTACTTTCATCAAGAGGCTCTTTAGTTCTTCACTTTCTGCCATAAGGGTGGTGTCATCTGCATATCTGACGTTATTGATATTTCTCCTGGCAATCTAGATTCCGGCTTGTGCTTCATCCAGCCCAGCGTTTCTCATCATGTACTCTGCATAAAGTTAAATAAGCAGGGTGACAATATAGAGCCTTAACGTACTCATTTTCCTATTTGGAACCAGTCTATTGTCCAGTTCTAACTGTTGCTTCCTGACCTGCATACAGGTTTCTCAAGAGGCAGGTCAGGTGGTCTGGTATTCCCATCTTTTGAAGAATTTTCCAGTTTATTATGATCCACACAGTCAAAGGCTTTGGCATAGTCAATAAAGCAGAAATAGATGTTTTTCTCGAACTGCCTTGCTTTTTTGATGATTCATCGAATGTTGGCAATTTGATCTCTGGTTCCTTTGACTTTTCTAAAACCATCTTGAACATCTGGAAGTTCATGGTTCATGTATGGTTGAAGGCTGGCTTGAAAAATTTTGAGCATCACTTTGCTAGCGTGTGCGATGAGAGCAATTGTGCGGTAGTTTGAGCATTCTTTGGCATTGTCTTTCTTTGGGGCTGGAATGAAAACTGACCTTTTCCAGTCCCGTGGCCACTGCTGAGTTTTCCAAATTTGCTGGCATATTGAGTGCAGCACTTTCACAGCATCATCTTTAAGGATTTTAAATAGCTCAACTGGAGTTCCATCACTTACACTAGCTTTGTTCATAGTGATGCTTCCTAAGGCCCACTTGACTTCACATTCCAGGATGTCTGGCTCTAGGTGAGTGATCACACCATCGTGATTATCTGGGTCTTGAAGATCTTTTCTATAGTTCTTCTGTGTATTCTTGCCACCTCTTCTTAATATCTTCTGCTGCAGTTAGGTCCGTTCCATTTCTGTCCTTTATTGAGCCCATCTTTTCAATGAAATGTTCCCTTGGTATCTCTAATTTTCTTGAAGAGATCTCTAGTCTTTCTCATTCTGTTGTTTTCCTCTATTTCTTTGCATTGATTGCTGAGGAAGGCTTTCTTATCTCTCCGTACTATTCTTTGGAACTCTGTATTCAAATGGAAATATCTTTCCTTTTCGCCTTTGCTTTTTGCTTCTCTTCTTTTCACAGCTTTTTGTAAGGCCTCCTCAGACAGCCAGTTTGCTTTTCTTTTTCTTGGGGATGGTCTTGATCCTTGTCTCCTGTACAATGTCATGAACCTCTGTCCATAGTTCATCAGGCACTCTGTCTATCAGACCTAGATTTAAACGTTGATCAAGCACAAATATTTGGCTTTTAGGAAGTCTTAGAAATTTTAAGGAACTGGTATTAGTCTGGTGAAACCTAATTTCAAGTAAAGGAGAATTATTTTTTAAGAGAGAATAACACATTAGGAACCAAGACAAATTTATGTTTTTCTTTCCATTATTAAATTTTGTTGTTGTCCCCATGGCCTAGCACCCTTTCCTGAAATATCACTACATCATTTTCCTGATTAAGGTAAATTTTGAGAAGCAATTCCTAAGGACTAACTAAGCTGAATTTATATTCTATATTTGCTTTAGAGATGTTTATCCACTGTCTCTTGGTATGCCACTAGATGGAGCCCTTCAGAACCATTTAGAGTAGAACGTGTAGAACACTAGTGTATTTCCTCCTCTTTAAGAATGCCTTTTCATTAGAGCTTATCCAAAGATTGTATCTTTTTACCTCATATTTCTTAGAAATTTAGTGGATATATGTTGTGTGTTTTCTATGCCTTTTCACTCAAGCAGCATATTATCAACATTGACTTTTTCTTTCTTAGATAGTTTTTAAAAACCCAATTTTCTTAAGAAAGAAAGGGATTAAAATGTTTTTTTCCCTAAATCTTTCTTGAAGGTCAGGGGCTTTATCTATGAAAAAGTAGTAAATAGTTATTTGTGACCCACATGAAACAGCAGCCAGCCTTAAAATAGTCCTTTCCAGCCAAGGATTAGAATAATGGGTCCTAGTGTTGGGCTGCTCTTAGTTTCTCTTATTCAAACTTACTAGATGGTAGAGTTCACTAACTTGTTACATGTTACTACTTGGTGTACTGATATTGTACTGATAATCACTGAAAAGTAAAGACTGTTGCATTAAAAAAAAAAAAAAAAAAAGAATGCCTTTTCACGTTGCCACCAAAAATCTTAAGAACAAATTTCCTACTCAAATGTAGTGACTTAGTATAATCTTGTAGGGCTTTCCAGGTGGTGCTAGTGGTAAAGAACCCACCTGCCAATGCAGGAGAAAAGAAGAGACACAGGTTCAATCCTTGGGTTGGGAATATCCCTTGGAGGAGGACACAGCAACTCACTCCAGTATTCTTGCCTGGAGAATCCCATGGACAGAGGAGCCTGGCAGGCTATGGTCCATAGGGTCGCAAAGAGTTGGACACAACTGAAGCAACAGCACACACAGTAGTATCTTACAGACTAGACATGAATGTAAGGTTTTTTCATTCTTGCTCTTTAGTTCATATTTTAGTACATATTTTCCCTGGCTTATATTTTATTTCTGCTTTGTTCTTTTACTACATGTATTTACTGCAAGTTACCTCAAATCTTTGTGCAGTAAATTGGAGTATTAACAAGGAAAGCAGACAAGAGTAATGAGTTCCAGAGAGCTTCACAAACTTATCAAAAAACTGCTTTCTAAAAGTAATTCTGTATCACTTTGTTTGGATATTTTTATTTTCCACAGTACCACCAAATGCTGCTTTTCATCTATATATGCAGAGAATTTTATTTTTATGCTATTTCATACTTCTAAATTAGATTTCAATGAAGCCCTAGTTTGGAATCCTCATTCTATATGGCAAATGAAACTGAATTCTGAGCCACACCAGAGTTTGACAATTATGCAAGTATTCAGGACTATTACCATTGCTAAAATATTTTGCAAGCATATGTATATGTGAAATCCACTGCAGCTTTCTTTTTTTTACACAAAATTTTTATTTTAGGTTAAAATATTTGTAAAGTGTCGAAATTGAAACTATAAGCTTATTATCTTTTGCATTATTTAGGTGGGTATATTCCATGAAGAAAATGCAATAAAGATAAGTCACATGGTATTTGAAGCTAATTTTAAAAGTAATTTATAATAGCATGATGGGTTTTTAAAAATAATCTGGTTTGATCCATGTATTTTAAACATAGGTGCTTTGAAGAATTTTGTCTATACAAGCTATGTAAACATTTCTGGGATAAAGGTTCTATTTCATGTCCATTTTAGAGTTACTTGAGCTTCCCCTGTAGCTCAGTTGGTAAAGAATCTTCCTACAATGTAGGAGACCCCAGTTTGATTCCTGGGTCAGGAAGATCCACTAGAGAAGGGATAGGCTACCCATTCCAGTGTTTTGGGGCTTCCCTTGTGGTTCAGCTGGTAAAATATCTGCCTGCAATGTGGAAGACCTGGGTTCGAACCCTGGGTTGGGAAGATTCCCTGGAGAAGGGAAAGGCTACCCACACCAATATTCTGGGCTGGAGAATTCCATGGACTATATAGTCCGTGGAGATGCAAAAAGTCGGACACAACTGAGCGACTTTCACTTTTCAATTTAGAGGTACTTAGCAATGATTTCAGTTAAAATATTCCTCTAAATCTCAACTGGGCTTTCCTGGTGGCTCAGTGGTAATGAATCCACCTGCCAATGCAGAAGACATGGATTCAATCCCTGGGTTGGGAAGATCCTCTAGAGAAGGAAATGGCAAGCCACTCCAATATTCTTGCCTGGAGAATCCCATGGACAGAGGAGCCTGGCAGGCTACAGTCCATGGGGTCTCAAGGGGTCAGCCATGACTTAGCGACTAAACAACAACAAAATCTCAACTAGTACATTTATAACAATTATTGTGTCTGACCACAAGTAATCCTTAGGTTTCCTGGTGGGAAGTAATTTTAGGACTTGCATTTGAATCATGCACTATGAGGCTGGTAGATAGGAGCTGGCAGGTGAGGGTCTCTATCTAACATTTACTTCTCAACATGACTTGGTTTCTTCTACATGCTGTCAAGTACAAGATAAATCAAGAAATTTATCTTTTTTTTTTTTTTTAAGAAAACTTAGTGGAAAATGTCAGTCAAGAGATTGAAAACTTTAAAGCTTAATTGAAAACCAAGGAAGTGCTCAAGGAACAAACGGAGGAAAAACAAAGCTAGGAACATGTACAAAATACAGTTTTCTGTATTTGTGGATTTTAGGACAACCGTTTGTGACTGGTTAGAAGCTAATACAGAGAAATAAATTGTACTTATAAAGTAAAAAGTAAAGTGAAGTCACTCAGTCATGTCCGACTCTTTGCGACCCCATGGACTGTAGCCCACCAGGCTCCTCCGTCCATAGGATTTTCCAGGCAAGAGTACTGGAGTGGGTTGCCATTTCCTTTTCCAGGGGATCTTCCTGACCCAGGGATCAAACCCACGGCTTTCGAGTTGCAGGCAGACGCTTTACCATCTGAGCCACCAGGAAGCCCAAGTAGTACTTACACTAAACAATTAAAGTATAGGCCCGTCTTGAGAGATAAATGTCTGAATGGTCAAAGAGAAATCATTATAGGGAGGAAGAATGACAATCCTACAGAGAGGGGAATGCTGATGGTAGGAGATCTTAGCTGGGCTAGAATGCAGAGGTGAAAGGTTAGATTTTAAAAGGTAGGAAGAAAGGAGCTGTAGCTTTGGTGATGCAGAATGATTTTGATTTGACAAGAACAGTGGATGAGAGACTCGCTGAGCCATAAAATTATTATTTTTCATTGAAGGCGTATGTTTGGGAGGGAAAGACAGAGGCACTGAGGATTTGTTGAAAAGATAACAGCTACCAAAGGTGAACAAAGGAGTGAAACAAAGCTTATGAGACCCAACTGCAGAATAGCAGGGAGAAGCTGACCAAAGGCTAAGAAACTAGATCTCTTCCCTAGGTTAAACTTGTGTCCTGCCATTGTGTTGACAGCATTCACTGATTTTCTTGGCCCAAACAGAAAAATAATTCTGTGTATATAACTAAAATTGCCTTTATTGATCAGCTCTCCAAGTCAGATCGTTCTAAATTTTGCATGGGGAAGGCTTTCCCATCGATGGTCAGGGCTGTACTCACTCTCTGGTCTTCGGGACTCAGCTCAGACATCAGCATCTCAGTATTGTGCGTGCTCCACTCCCAGCTCCGGTTGATGAAATACTCCAACATGGAAACTGTTCTTAAAAGCCGGTTCATGAGCTTCGTCATCCTGAGGCAAAGATCACATGGGGCGAGGATCAGTGCACCACTGCTAGGGGACGTTTAACAGGAGGACTCCTGCGTGCTGTTTCTCATAAACCCTCTGCTCCTTATCAGAACTGGCAACGGGAACGAGTGGAACGGCGCGGCGCTGCCAGAACTGAGGTCATAGGATGAAACATATGCATGAATCTCCTTCAGCACACATTCTCCTTACAACAAAACTGCTTAGTCTCAATCCTCTTTCTTGAGATATGGATTGTCTCCTGACTGTGTGACCATTGTTAATCCCTTGTTCCCTTGGTAATGGTTGCTGGACCTTTGGTTTTCTGATCTTTATCACTGTCGAAAGAAATTCTTTGGACAACAGCCTATATATACTCACAGAAAGATCATTAAAACACCCTTGCTCCACCAGAGGCTTGGGTCCCGGTGTCTTTCTTTCTCTCTCTCTCCCCCTCCCTCCGGCAATTCTCTGGAGCGTGGAAACCCGCCGAGCTCTCTCTCATGCCCCGGCTTTCCAGACCTCCTCAAGAGGGCGCCCTGTGCCTTCGTGAGCTGTGCAAGCGCTGTTCTAGGGTTTTATTGGTTCTTTGCGTAAACCAGGGAATATTAGCTTCTTTATCTCTGTCACTTTCTTATCGTCGACTCCGGACCACCAGGTTCCTGTCCATTAAAGGACCCCAACACACCACAGATGGTGGCTTTCCTGCTACAGCATAGGGATATATGACAAATTAGGTCTGAAAAATATAGAAGTTATTTCTTCCCATTTTTCCCTCAGTTCCTCATTAAAAGTTTTATTCTTTTTTCTCTTCCACATGAACCCTCTTTTGAAAGAAGGGATGTGGCTGAACCTAAAGGAGCTTGTTCTAGCAGGCATTTTAATACCACTAGCTACTTCTCTGTCTCTTTCCTACCATCTCTTTTTCAAGAGTTGCAAGTATTTTAAAAGCCGAGCAAGATATCCACCCCCAGTGACATACTCTTCCTTCTTGGAATTCTGAGGTAGACATGAAGAAAACCTATTTCTCTTCTTTAATGCAAGTTCTTGGATTTTTTTTTTAATTGATTGATTTGAGGTCTCAAATCAATGAGAGTTGTGTATAACTCTGGGCAGAAGCGGAGACTATATTAGCATCTGGTGAACCAAAAACAGCTCTTAATGCAGATTTAAGGGGAAAATATTTTATTTGTTAATAATCTACTCAGGCACAGTGCTGATAACGTTTAAAAAAATATTGACTCCACTATTACCTGTAACATCCCTGTTAGGTAGGTTTCTGTTTTTATGAACAGGTAAAGTAGGCTTAGAAAAGATTGAGTAGCCATGATAATATCATGTGTCAAAGCCAAAATTCCAACCCAGTTTTGATGGACTTCAAAAAGTCTCTGCTTTTGCAAATGGGACCCCCTGGATCTCATTACTTAAAATGGACCATATATTTTAACCCCGTGGTGAGGACCTCCTGTTTGAACTTCCCAATTTTGTAACAATTTATATTTTTAAAAAACATGCTTTCTTAATTTATACAGTATGATTCCATGAGGTAATCAGGGTCTATATTGTTTATCTTCATTTTGCAGAAGGATTAATAGGTACAGGGTCACATAGCTAATGCTCAAACCTAGATTTTCTGGCTACAAATCATATCTGGCCTAAAGATCATTTAATTTTTATCTTAATCAGTTAGGCTAATCTTGGTAACAGTGACTACTATAGTTGACCCCATAATGACTTATGATACTATTTTGGGAATTTGGTCTTATTTCTGGTCAAATCTTCATGTCCATATCCCGAATGACTCATGAGGTACTTCTCTCATTGTATTATAGGAAATTCTTAAGCAAGGCTATAGAATCATTATTCCCTAATTCAAGCATCATAATAGGGTTCCATTTGCTATTGTTATCTAACATCTTGGCTATAGACTGAATATTTATATCCCCCCACAATTCACATGTTGAAACCTATTCCTCCTAATGTTGTAGTATTGGAGGAGACTTTGGCAGATGTGGAAAGCCCTTATAAAAGGGACCCCAGAAAGCTCCCTTAGCCCTGCCAGATTGTGAGGACACAGAGAACATGGCTGTCAGAAATGAGGAAGTGGGCCCTCAGCAGATGCTGGATCCACCAGCACCTTGATTTTAGGCTTTCTAGTCTCCAGTTCTATGAGAAATAAACTTCTATTGTTTATAAACCACGTAGTCTATGATATTCTGTTACAGAAGTCCAAACAAATTGACAATCTTTATTCATTTTACAACTCTGAAGTAACTGATATTATTTCAATAGATTTACTTTTAAAAAATAATCATTGTACAAGTGATTATACAGTGTATACAATGGTGTATCATTGTATGTACAGGACTGTATCAGCAAAATAGTATTTTTTTAGAAAGAAAGAATACACTTATTATTCTCATGTGGTGAAGATCTTAATGCATACAATGCAAAAGCTATAAAGGAAAGATGATTCATTTTATCATATAAAATTTTTTTTTGGTAATAATAGTGATTACTATATTCTATGCACTCTAATGTAAAATCCTGTAAAATAGGTATGATTACAATCTCTTTTTAATAAGTTAGTATTTAGAAAGGTAAAGTAATTTAGGGATCATGTGGATAAATTGGTGAAGGCCAGGATTTAAGTCTGTAGGTCTGACTAAACTCCACGCTCTTAAGACCTGCATTATATGTAGTTTCCCTTGTATTAAAGAAAGTTTCATAATCAGAACTACAGGATAAGAAACTGACTTCAAGAAAACACATTAATTATATATTTACACATATATACACACACCACTTCCATAATAAGTACAACCCAACAGAAAAATAGAAATATTGTTGATTAGTTGCTACATCATGTCCGACTCTTATGACCTGGTGGGCTATAGCCTGCTAGGCTTCTCTGTCCATGGGATTTCCCAGGCAAGAATACTGGAGTGGGTTGCCATTCCCTTCCCCAGGAGACTTCCTGACTCAGGGAATGAACCCGCATCTCCTGCATTGGCAGGTGGATTCTTTACCACTGAACCACAAGAGAAGCCCCTAAATAAACACACAGAGAGAATTCCTCCTTTAAAAACTATATATTTACACATATATACATATACACACAGCTTCCATAAATTAATAAGTACAATCCAATAGAAAAATAGAAATATTATTAGCCATAAAAAGAATGAAATAATGCTGTTGTAGCAACATGAATGGACATAGAAATTATCATACTAAGCAAAGTAATTAAGACAGAGAAAGACAAATATCATATGATATAACTTACATGTAGAATCTAAAAAGAATGATATGAATGAATCTATTGCGAAACAGAAACAGGATCACATAGAAAACAAACTTATGGTTCCCAAAGGGGAAAGTGGGGGAGGGATAAACTTAGAATCTGATATTAACAGATACACATTACTATATATGAAATAAGCAATAAGGGCCTGAATATATATATATATGCATACATATGCATATATATATGAATTACTGCTGTACATCTGAACACTGTAAATAAATTATATTTCAATAAAAACAAAATTATAAAATAGGTGAGAAATAGAAGCAGGCAACTCATAACAGAGAAAACATGAATGTCCAATAAACAAATGAAAGCCCAGTCCCTCCATCAATCAAGAAAAATGCAAATCAAAGTGACAGAGATGCTATTTCTTATCATTAGCTTAACAGTTCAAAATATTGATTTTTGCAAAGTATAAATGAGGGTGAGAAAGAAGAGATTTATACTTTGACATGCTGTTGTGATAATGTATAAATTGACAGAGGCTTCCTTTAAGGCAACCTGGTAGTAGTTATAATCTCCATGTTGAATGTACCCTCCAATTTAGCAAGCCTACCCCTCAGCATCCTCTATAGACCTAAAGGCACATTCTATAAAGATGCATGTGCAATGATACTTCTTGTCCCATTGTTTGTAATTGGGGTGAAAAAGACAGTACTAGCAGACTTGGATTTTCATGGAATGCAAGTGAAAAAGAAAGTATGTACTATGGATTTAAACATACACAGAGACACACCTTACCTCAAAGCAAAACCATACATATGGTTGTAAAGGCGTAAGTGATTACACATAAACACACTTGGGGAAAGAAAGAGTCCACAAGGATTCTAGCACTGTCTGCCATAAAGATTATTCTTAAGAGCCCTATCACCAAATGAATAACCATTTCACATGGATATTACAATTTGATTTCTTACAAACAAAATACATAAATATTTTTACTGGGCTTGCTCCTCCTGTGTTTTTCTTCTCTACTTACTGAATTTTGCTCTTCATCCAGGTCTCCTTCCAACTCTGATATATTTTAAAGGCTTCAGTGTTCCTGCCAGCAGTGTTTGGTTTCCCTTCTTTTCCCATCTTTATTTAATAAGCCCCTTATACAAATATTTTCCCACAAACATAGTGTCCCCCTTTTCACCTTACTCAAGAAGAAACTGATAGTGAGTTATGAACTCTAAGTAAGATCTCTGAAAATGTGGATAAACTCTACATTGCCTAAGCATCACTCATTTGCTCTACTAATAAGGATGGAGATAAACACACTGAGAGAGAATTTCTCCTTTAAAAGAGGCTAGCATGCTTCTGATGGCAGGAAAGCCTTTGGTAATCTTGATAATGAAGACTCCTCAGACACACAAAGCATTATTCAAGCGAGACCAGAGTAGAAAGGGACATGCCCTAAGTCACCCAGCGTCGACACCCTGACGCTCTACTTTGCTCCCTCCACTCTCTTCACTCTTCTCTAGGTGGCAGTAAGTCCAGTTCAGGTTTCTCCAGATCTTTCCTTTGTCTCTTCCTCTGAGACTACTTAAAATTCTTCCTCTAACTTCCATTTCCTCATCTGTAAGGCTGGGACGAGAATACCCTCCTTGGGTTGTTGTGAGAATTAAAAAGAGCTCGTCATGCATCACCCCTTGTTACCATTGTAGTACATTGTAAGATTAACTGTCCTGCTAAATCATTGAGTCACATCCGACTCTTTGGGATCCTATGGATTGTAGCCTGCCAAGCTCTCCTGTCCACAGGATTCTCCAGGCAAGAATACTGGAGTGGGTTGCCATACCCTCCTCCAAGGGAAATTCCTGACCCAGGGATTGAATCCAACGATTGACAAGCTCCCAGATACAGAATCTCAGTTGCTTTTCTTTTTAGGTGAATGATTACCTGCTGAATTCATCAAGCAAGTTCCTTAACATTAAGGTGGGGTTCCCTTGGGGCTCCCACTACTACTGCTTTGACTGTCCCTCTATAGAGATAAAATCATAACTATATGGAGATATAATTAACTCCCTTAGAGATATAATCATAACTATGATTCCGTTGTCACTTTGATCTGTAGGTGATAGGAAGGCAAAGGACTGGAACCCTTAACTTTCATGCAGAGACACTCCTAAAGCTATTGTCTCCGTTTCTCACCTGGGCTTCCTTCCTGTGAGACGAAGATAGAAGTCATAGATGATGGCAGGGGCCCGGTGACTGACAGCATTCCAGTAATGGGTTGAGATGTTGTTGGTTGTGAAGTCAGCGTTGGGTCTCCTGAAAGCTCTCTCAAATGGGATTTTTTCAAAGGTTGCCAAGACTTGGAATCCTGGAGGTGGGGGAGATTAAGTGCTAAGTCCAGGAGCATTGCAAAAGCCACCCATTATGGTAGATGGCATTTGCAATGGGTCAAAACAATAAATAGTAAGGATTTGCTGTGTAGAGTCAAGAATAATACTAAGATTTTTACACCAGGCAAGTGGTCATCTGCGAATTTAAACAATGTAAATTGGTTAAGAATTGAATCCTTCTCTTGAAACCTTTACCCTAAAACAACTTCTTGGGAAAATAGTTTTAGTCAATACTAAAATTTCAATTCAATTTCAAGGCTATCTAGTCTATTCAGAAAGCCCAACACGGAACCTGGGGGTGTTATTTCTTTGGTTGGATCATTACTCGCAGAATAATCAGGAAAATTTCTTAACATTTTACTTAAACTTTTATAAAAATTTATGTAAAAGAGAGACTATAAAATTAGGATTCCTTCATATTGGTTCACTTTAAATACCAGTCTTTTACTTCTTTGGTATTTCTACTACCCTGGCAATATGTCAGACTCAATTGTTTTACTCTTGTCTCCAGAGTTTTCTTAAATAATAATCTTAAAAAGTATATTATTACTTATATAAAACCTGGTTTAAAGCTTTTAATGTACATCTGTAAATCAAATAGTTCTTTTCAAAAGGCATTCATCCTTTTGAACTCAGTTTTGATTTTATTTATGTAGAATTTTGAAAGTTGCCTAAGTTCATTACTCAGTTATGATGAAGTCATCAATTATTATGATAATATGATTACTGTCCTCTGTAAAAGATACTACCTGGAAATCTGTATGAAAAATATATACCCCATACAGAAAAGATTATACAGAAACATCTGATTCTGGGTCTTTTCCTCCCAGAGGGATTCATGTTGACTTTAGGAATCCCTAGTGGGGTGATCATTACACATTCATACCCATCATCTACTTCTATGTCAGGCTCCCGCTCCCCATGTGAAATGAATAAATCATTTACTGTCTCTGGGCTTTGTGTGGAAAATAAAGTGAGAACACTGTTACTTTTTTTTAAGAATTTAATTTTTATTGTACCAGTTTAATTTCAAAAATACAAAATTTGTAATGGTTTTGTGAATGCAAGGCTTTCCTCTAAACTTCATCTTTCTTGTTGAGTGTTAAAGTTAGTAAGTGGCAAATAGAAAGCTAGATTTCTAATTTAAAAAAATTAGATATGCAAAAAGCAACAAAGACCTACTGTATAGCACAGGAAACTATAGTCAATATCTTGTAATAAATATAATGGAAAATAATTTAAAAAATAATATCTGTGTTTATGTATAACTGAATCACCTTGCTGTGCACCGGAAACACTGTAAGTCAGGTATAGTTGAATAATATATATATATATAAAGAAAAAAGTTAATAAATGGCTATGTAACATGAAACAAGATGCAGTGATTTGACTGTCTGACTTTCACTGATTCAGAAATTTCTGTCAGAGCAAAGTTTATTTTTAAGACCAGAACGATACCTATCTCTATCTGAATCACTTTGCTGTATACACGAAACTGACACAACCTTGTAAATAAGTATACTTCAATTTAAAAACAAGGAAAAGAGAGAAAAAGCAGAATGAGAGTTTTATACATACCATGATCAAAAGAAGTAAGCACTAGATTATTTTTAAGATCATTTTCAACTATTACATTTTGTATGTTCATAAAATAGACAGTAAGAATTTTCAGTAAGGAAGAAGACTATTTTGAATCCAAGGTATGGAATTTACATGTAGCATCTTTTGATTTAGAATTTAAGTATCTTGGTTGCTTCTACTATTGCCTCTTTTTATGAATGATACCTTAATTCTGTTATGAGATAGAGGAGATCTATTTATTTATTTTTTCATTCATTGAGCCTTTAATAAACATTTTCTTTCTGCCAGGCTGTAGGAATAAAAATGATAGAATGGAAAAAATTTTATTTCCAAATATTTCCAGAATTATTTAGCTATATGATCTAAATAACTGGATATGATGGTAATAGATAATTTCATTTTACTTTTACTGAAATAATAACTTTGCAAATAGAATAGCCCAGTGGGATGCCCTGAATTGGAAATAAGATCCTAACAAATTAAGCACATTTAATTTTTTTCAACATCTAGTAGCTAAACAGCAATTAGATGATCTAAAAGTTTCAGATATTCATAAGAAAATCAGAAGCAGAGTACAAGATTGGTTAGCTAATTTTCTATCACATGCAGGATTAATTCTAATTCAATCTAACAGGCTACTTTCAAGGTTACACTATGGCTGACTGCCTAAATTAATAAAGAGTATCACTGACTCAATGACACCAATTAGTATCATTGGACTTTTCTAAATCTACTTGGCCATTAATCATGGCACATTCTCAGTGATATGTCCAGGGGGACGAGGGCTGTGTGCATGAGCACAGTGGCTCAGGAGAATTATTTTACCCCCGATATTGCTTATAATTACTGACTTTGGCTTGACTTTCTTTTTTAAATCTCTACAGCCAATGGACCCCTTATCGCTCACAGTCAAGCCACTGTTTCACTGGTCCCTTTCTTTGAGATACCACAGTGCATTCTAACTAACTCTACACGTTTACAGTTTGCAGTTATTTTTCTGGCTTTACCTATGTTTTGTCTTTTCCCCCATTAGGCTCAGAGCTCCATGACACACATTATTTTTCCCTGTGGCAGACACTAATTGTGAATGAGCATTCTCTAATGGTTCCTTAGGTACCCTGCTACAGGCACTTACCCATTTTGCCCCAGTTACAGGGATTGAGGTTGCCAGATGTACAGTGGTAGACCAATGTTGACTTAGGTCTGAAAAACAAGAGTTAGGGAAATATAAGAAAATGGAGAACTAATGAAAGAAAGATAAGGGAAAATAACACTTAAACAAGTTTTTTTTTTTTTTCTTTCAATAATTCCCATGACTAAGGCACTCTTAGGTGGCTCAGATGGTAAAGAATACGCCTCCAATGTGGGAGACCAGGGTTCGATCCCTGGGTTGGGAAGATCCCCTGGAGAAGGGCATGGCAACCCACTCTTAGTTTTCTTGCCTGGAGGATCCCTATGGACAGAGAAGCCTGGCGGGCTGCAGTCCATGGCATCATAAAGAGTTGGGCACGACTGAGCAACTAAGCACCACCTGACACATGAGGCACTCTACGCAACACTTTCATCTTTTGTTCTTTCTTTGGGTTAAAAACAAAATGGAAAACTAGGAAAAGTGCAAGTGTGTGTGTACATTGTATAAGGAACAAAAATCCCAATAGGCTGACATATTTATGGAGCAAATGGAGGTAGCATGATGATGACAAAGCAAATTGTATTTCTAACTTCTTGACATCTTTACTGGTCAAAAATATGGGCTATGTTTTTTCCTAAATCCAATGAAGTGCTGTTGGATTGGACAACATCTAAATGTCTAACTTCAAATAATTAATAAAAATTTTGTTTACTAACAAAGCTAAATATACAAACAACCTATTATTTTTCTTTGTATTAGAAAATACCTCTCTCACACACACACGGTGATCTGAACTTTTGACTTTTATTAGGAACTGAGAAGAGAAGAAAAATATGCTCTCATTTCATCTACTTTTATCTTCTTTGCCTTAAAAAAGGAAGCTGTATTTTAAGTTGCTGAATAGAAAGAAAGGCTTTTCAATTACTGAGAATTTCATGGTTAAATGATTTGAAGAATTTATTATTTTATGATCAACCAAGTACTAACTGGTATTTATAAAACAACTTAATGCCTATATTATGACATAATTGGAACTCTGTGAAATATCCAAACAGATACCCTCTCACATTTGGGGTCTTCTTCAGGAAACTTCATATATTTTGAATAGGTGCCTAACATAGCTACCCTCCTCCTCACCAAATCTTTGAAAGCCAGTTTAAGTATCCACTCCACACCTGTGAACTGCCGTGTACCATCCCACAGCCAACGTGAGATTGACCACTGTGTCTGCTGGAATCAAATCTGCCACCGCCATCGGAGTCGCTCTTATGGACCGAAGAAACCCTTTCCCAGCCTGCACAGGGAAAAGGACATAAATTATTGAACCAGGTGCTAAGTGACAGCTGGGGCTAAAGTATATATCAGACAGAGAGTATCAATGCTGGTAGTAATAATAACTAACACTGATTCATTGCTTGCTAAGTTAAAGTGCCAAGACTGACTGCTCTCAGGCCATCCAACCTCCCCAGCCAAGTTCAAGTGCCAGCATCTCCAAGAATCACCAGTGATCCTCAGGTTCCTCTTCAGAGTGAAATTTCTCAAACTTGTGAGGAGTTTAATGTATTTAGTTAATTGATAAACACCAAGAGTAAAAAAAAAAAAGAATAAGATTTAATATCTTAAAAATTAATTCATAAGATATTCTAAGAATTAAGTTTTCCCAAATTTCCCATTAATTTAACTTACCATTTCTTAAATGATGTCATTTTTTGCTAGAGTCTATGAGTTTACAAGAAGTAATAGGTACTAGAAGTTTTTTGTTTTTGTTTTTTTTAAAAATTTATTTATTTTAGTTGAGGCTAATTGGTTTACAATATTGTAGTGGTTTTTGCCATACATTGATATGAATCAGCCTTGGGTTTACATGTATTCCCCATCCTGAACCCCCCTCCCACCTCCCTCCCTATCCCATCCCTCTGGGTCATCCCAGTTAGGCACTAGAAGTTTAAGAAACACTTTTTTAAACTGATAAAATTCCACTACTTAACAAAAACTTTTTATTACTTGTGGAAAAGGCCACCGTTATTTACTTTTTGTTCAGTATCTTTGTTTACCTCACGGATCACTGATGCTATATAGATGCAAGAATTGGGAATTGTTCATGTTAATAAATGCCATGTCAATAAATAAAGGAGCCAGTTTATTGACTTTTTGAAGTAATTGATTATTTACACCCTGCAAGTTTCCAACATAAATTTGCAGTGGTCAGCACTTTCTTATATTCCTAATTTCTGTCTTCTTGTAACTGATTAACCTTCCTTTGGACAAGAGTGCCTGCTAAGTCGTTTTAGTTGAGCCTGACTCTTTGCAACCCTATGGACTATAGCCCACCAGGCTCCTCTGTCCATGGGATTCCTCCAGGCAAAACTACTGGAGTGGGTTGCCATGCCTTCCTCCTGTCCTTCAGAATATGGGAAATCAATTTGGAAAATTTTAGAAAATCTGAATGCATGTGCAGATTTGCTCACAGTGTAATAAAACTCACCCTGGGATCATGTTAAAATAGCTATATTCTAAGTTACTAAACACTCACTTCCAACTCAGCCTCAAGAGTTGAAGGCAGGTAGGGAACAGAAAGAGAAAGAAATTAGAAAGAAGTGCATTGTCACTGTCTTTGACAAGTAGTCATAATTCACTGTCTTTCATTTGCATTGTCGTTCATGTTGGATCTAGTTCTGTGAAGAATAGAGGCACAGTGTGAAACATGAGGTCCCTAACAAAATTTAAACCCATTTAAAGAGGTGAAGTCCATTTCAATGTCCAAAAGAGAAGAGTTGCAGTTCTCAGCCTAAAATGTTTTAGCGTGAACCGGAAAGCTCGGCAGCTCACAGGATCAGTCTCCACTGAGGGGAGATGCACACAAAGGGCTGCTGACCCAGAGGAATGAGGAATGGTTGATGTCTCTCCTTGTCTATGAGAGAATTAGTGTTGAAAAGTGTTTCCTATAGTCATCAATTTTTATATTTGAAAAACTTGCTCCAATTGGTAGTCCTCGTTCTTAGATATATTGAGAAATAGATGTTGATGTATTTATGCATTTATATACTTTCTATCCAAATGCATATAAATTTAATAATCTTTGGGGATATGAGTTTTATCACATCCCTAATTCTAGCTATGGTTAAAGAGCGAAAAGAAGGAAATACCCCCATCTTGTGTTAACTAAGGGGACATACAAGCATGGTACTAGAGGCTCAAAATTCTATCCAAAAATAAAACTCCTAAGTGGCAATTGATGATATCACAGTACTTCTATTTTCCTGATAATGATACTGACTGATAATTAAAGTAACTTCATTCTGCCTCTATTTTTCAATCAGCAAAACTGAAATAATTTGCATCAATTGTAGTGAGTAAAGGAACGCTTATGGTTTTGCATCAGTAAAGCTAAGCCAATACTAGCATTTTGTCCCTCCACTACATTTGAAGTAATTATTTCCACACCGTTATACATACCGCAATAATGAGCCCACTAGGTCCATTTAAGTTATCAACCCAACCCTAAAAAGAGAAAAGGGAAAAGATCTCTAGTTGGTTCCACATGTCAGAAAATCACAGTACCTTTGGAATAGCTGCAGTCTAACCTTAAAGTTCAAACAAGAACACAGACTCCAGCTGATAAACTGTCTAGTCCACTACTTCCAAAATTACAAACAGAGATCAATGAGAAAGCACTGGATATTTTCTGCACTTGGTTTGTGGAAGAATTAAAATTCTGCTGGCATTTATTTCCTAGCAGGAATCAAGAATAGTTGCAAGCTGTCTATGACATCTTAGGAGCTAAATTGGCTCTCATCTTAATATCATAATCTGCTAATCAATTCACCTGGGCCTGATTTTAACTTCTCATGGGAACATTTCAAACATAGTTTGCAGAAAATTGACTCTTACTTGACAGCTATAAGAGTCATAGCATCTTTCATTCATTCTATCTCAAGATCAACTTGTATTAGCTTGCTGTAGATGATAGAGAAAATATTATCTTTAGGAGCAGTTAGAGAAAAACATCTTTATGAGTTTGTCTCCTAAGCCCAAAGCAAGTCAGTTGACCTCATTATGTCTGTTTATCTTTGAAAGTCAAAATGTATAAGATGGGAGAGGAGAGAGAACTTAAAGGGATTATTAGTTGAGCCTTTTACTAGGAACCAGGCACTGCAGTAGACATACCACCACACTGCCTCCTCTCATCAACCCTCCACAATGGGTGTGGTTAGCCCAGTTTTACATATGAGACAACTCATATATAAAAGGCTGCATGTCAATAAGTAATGGAGCTTGGATTTATCTGGTGCAAAATCTTTACAGAATTGCTTCAAAAAAGATGATATAATTCAAAGTACTTTCAAAAAGATATAGAAGTATACACAGATTAAAATCATTATTCCTAAACTGAGGACTTTCTCTGAGCTTTGCAATTCCTATTTACCCTGGCAATTTGTTAACATTATCAATTTGGCCAGCAGGAATATTCTGGTATTTTTAAACTATTGTGGAGAAGCCAAGAAATAAAGCTATTTCCCATGGGAATTTTGAGACTAGAGTTAATGAGAAACTAACTGAAGACTCCATCCAACTCTAGGACAGTCAGTGCAACATCAGAGGAGCCCAGTGGTGAGTAAATCCTGAACCAACCATGCACTTTGATCCTCACATTTGCTGTACTCAGCTATATATACTTGGCTTTTATATATATACTATATATAAAAAAAGACATCAGAGAGTAGTTGGACAGGAGGGATGCTGGTTCAGAAGCAAAGCGTGGAATCCAGGCAAGTGGGCTTACTGGGAAGGGCTCCTGCCAGGTTGCTCCCATGATGGAGGGCCGTACGATGGCAATGTTGAGGCCGCCACCTTCCTGCTGCACCACCACCTCTCCCAAGGCCTTGGTATAGGTGTACGTGTTAGGCCGATCTCCGATCAGTTTGGGTGTGATCTCATCAATAATAGCATCGTCTAACCACCTGAAGGCAGTCAGAGTGAAAAAGAACGTTGTCAGCATGTGTTAGACAACATACCAAAAAGAAACTGTGAGACACCAACAAACAGAACTTCCCCGTTCTAACTTGAGTTCTGAAATTGGGAACTGTGAAAGGATACCAAGGCTTGAGTGTGAACCTATCCAAATGATGCAAGATGGATGAGATCTTTGCTCCCCACTGCTTAGCCCAACATTACTAGTTGAATCCTACGGCTTTCTGTCTCAATAGATTTATCCAATTGTTATGCAGTCTGCTACTTGATTGTGTGTGTGTGTGTGTGTGTGTGTGTGTGTGTGTGTGCATGTACACGCTAAGTCACTTCAGCCATGTCCAACTCTTTGCGACCCCATGGACTGCAGCACACTAGGCTCCTCTGTCCATGGGATTCTCCAGACAAGAATACTGGACTGGGTTGCCATGCCCTCCTCCAGGGGATCTTCCCGACCCAGGGATGGAATCTGTGTCTCATGTCTCCTGCATTGACAGGTGGGTTCTTTACCACTAGCATCACCTGGGAAGCTCCCTGCTACTTGATTACATAGAGCTAATCTCTATTTTCAATTATAGCCTCTCAGAGGGAATGTACCTATCAAGGTACATTCAATGAATGCATTGTGAGTGCCAGTTGGGTGTCCAACAGTGGGCTGGCTGCCCTGGTCATGGACTTGAGAGGCTGTCATCCGAAGTGTCAGTGGCAGCCCCTCTCATTCATTATTGTCCACTTAGAACCTTGGCACTAATCTTGAAAGCTTCAGCTTTGATTTTTGTTTTAAATTCTACTTAATGCCTTAACAAAGAAAGGCAACTACATTTATCAGAACTTACAATCTGTTTTAGCAAATCCAGGCACTATATTTTGAAGATCTGTTTAGAGTCTATGCTAATAACTTGGTAATCATTTCCAGAGATTTCCAATGAGTTCTAAAGTGCTCTAATAACTATTAATAGTCTGTCAAGTGGGGTGAGAATAGCACAATGAAGTAACTTTAATATAATGACTATTGAATACCTCTACCTTCAAGATCTGTATCATGAATAACTGAGTTACCATGGCAACAATCTATTTTTTTTTAAAGATGTTAAAACCATTTTGATAATCCCAGAGTCTACCTGCTTTTGTCTAAGAAAGCAATGAAATTATTATTGATTAAATATTGAATGTTTCTCGTAGCTGGTAGATCTATTTGGTAAAACTTTGGATATAATACAGTTTTTAAAAATTAGATGACATGTGTTTGGTATATTTATTCCCATTTTATTGGACCCAACACAATCATACTATTTTGATTGCAGAAAAATCTTATTAGAGGTTATTGTTTTCCTCTCATGACAAATTATTGAGTATTTAAGAAGTGCTTAACGCCAAGACATTCAGAAATACAACTCTCAATTTCCGTATTGGAGAGGAATGTGAATACTGTCTATTATGGTCTAGTTTTCCTTGCTTTGTGTCTATTAGTGCTGAATATCTTCTAGCTATCAAATACCTTCTGGTTTATACTGAAAAGAGAAAGGTTGAGAAGGTCTGAGAATTAGAAACAACTCCAAAATAGAAAAACAGAAGTTATTTCAATCATGTGGTCACTGAGTGTTGGGAGAGAGTGAGGGATAATCTAGGCACCTCTCTATCTTTTCTAATAATGTTACCTTTACCTCATCTTATTTGTGGGTCATCAGTGGATTAACTGACCTAAGACCATTTTTCTTTTCACCTACAAAAGCATACAGGTTACAAAAACTAGGTCTGAAGAAATACAGCCCAGTTTTAACAAAGCTGTGAAGAAAACAAGTTTAAGAAAGCATCAGAAGCCAGCAATACCCTCGGATTGTATGTCCCATGGCTGGTACCATGTGCTGTCACTGCTGTTGGTGTGCATGAAAAAGGTAACACCTGGAGGCTTCTCCAAGTTTGGTGAGTTAGCTCATCTTAGAAAATACTGGTTTCTAGGTTTCTAAGAACACAAAGCAAAAGAAGTTGCAGTGCTCTGTAGATGGTCTGCCTTTACTCTTTGTAGCTCCGCTGTATTCTACTGTATCATTTTCTCATTTCCTCCTCTGGCACTTGTGAAAAATAGCAATAATTGTATGTGTTCTAAATTTTCAGGTTATGAGGACAAACAGGAACATTCACAACTACACTTATAACTATTTGATTAAACAAAAGGAGCTAACACATCCAACACATATTTAGTAAAACCGCCAAGAAGCATGTATCTAGAAAGCTCACAGTTGGTTTTAAAATATCTTTTCTAATACAGCCAAACAGATAATATCTCATCCTGCCATTTCTTGGGTTCAAAGAGATTAATGTAACATTCATTGGTTAAGTGATGCCCTTTTTAGGACCTAAGATTGGTTCATGTTTTCCTGTATCAAAATTTGATTTGGAGCTGTTACTTGTCTTTAAACTAGTAAATAAATTAGCATGCAAAAAGGACACCATATAAACCAAAGCACATTTCTGAAACTAAGTCAAAGCACTTCAGGATACTCAAGGATATATCTGAACTCATGGGCTCCAAATTCTAAACTTCTACTTAAATCGCTTTAAAAGAAGCAAAAAGTCACACACACACACACACACACACACACACACACACAACACAGACAATTTCCTCTAAATATTACTATCTTTTTTTCCTCAATTTTCTTATGCAGCAAACAGGGCCAGCCTAGTAGTGTATCAGGAAAGCTTTCTGGAGAGTAAGTACTGGACATCCTGCCTCAAGGTAACCTTTGCTGTCTTTTCTCTGACCTGGAATATGTTTGTCCCTTGATTACAATTATCATGCTATATGTTCTTGCTTGGGCTTCCCAGGGTAGAGTCCACCTGCCAAAGCAAGAAACGAGGATTCAATTTCTCGGTGGGGAAGATTCCCTGGAGAAGAAAATGGCAGCCCACTCCAGTATTCTTGCCTCGAAAATTCCATGGACAGAGGAACCTGTACATTCCATAGGGTCACAAAGAGTTGGACATAACTGAGCAACTGAACACAAAAGTTCTTGCTCATGTCTGTTTCCCCACTTTACAATGAGTCTAGGAGTGCAAGGATTATATTTTTTTTAATCTCCATGTCCAATCACCTTACTCTCTCCAGGAACCAGCTAAATGTGCGCTCTTTTATAGGACAGTCATGATTGGCCAGTTCTGTCCAAAGTTTGGGAAGCTGAGATGGACAATGGTAGGAGCGAATAGGTGAACTCAGAAGGAGGTGTGGTTGTGGGGAGACTGTGGGAAAGTTAGAGAGGGGGTGTCTTTGAGGAAATGAAGAAAAATTGGAAGTTAAGGTATCGGTGGCAGTGGTGAAAAGTGCTGGGAAGCTGAAAGGCTAGAGGTTGGCCAACTTCAATTGGGCAGTGACTTCAGAGTAAATTTAACTGACTTCAAAGTAAATTTGAACCTTTTCTTGGGGAGAAGGGTTTATCTGAGCATAATGCTTGTGGTGACTTGGCCTCTGTATTACCATATAGACTTTTATTGAGCACATATTCTGGTTACAGGGACCTGACACCATGGAAATTATTCAGCTTATTTAAGAACAATTTAATCCTGCTCTGATTCATGTTGAAGTCTGGTGCTATTAAAAGTACACAGAATTTCCAGGTTTTTTTTTTTTTTTTTGTCAGCTGCTTAGATGCCATCCTAATGCTATACAATCCTGATAATAAAAGCACAAATGCTGAAACTAGCTTTTTCCTTTCCCCTAGAATAGATAAACAGGGGTTTCCCATGTGGCTCAGTGGTAAAGAATATGGCTGCAAATGCAGGAGATGTGAGTTTGGTCCCTGGGTTGGGAAGATACCCTAGAGGAGGTAATGCAACCCACTCCAGTATTCCTGCCTGGGAAATCCCATGGACAGAGGAGCCTGGAGGGCTGCAGTCCATGGGGTCACAAAGAGTTAGACAGGGCTTAGCAACTGAATGAAAACAAACAAACAAAAAAGGTGTATGCAAGCCCATAGGCAAAGCAGTAGCCATGCCCTATTGGTTTTTCTTTCCACAGACACATAGCGGTTTACTACATGTATTGCCATTCAGAAAGCTCTAGTCCCCTTCACCATTCCATTTCAGGTAATGGGTCTCCATGCCTCTGGAGACTCCCCATGCTAATGTATCCCCTTTGGCTCCATAACCATCATGTTCCTAAAGCTCACTTTCATCAAAGTCTTTTCTTGATTAAAACAAAATGAAACAAATGGCCAAAATCACACACACACACAAACACACACACACACACACACAGAGTCCTCCCTCAACAGATCTCTCTGTCTGTAGAATTAAACATAACCCTCTGCATCGTACTCAAAATGCCCACAGTGTGGCTCCATTCTATTTCTCCAGCTTGACCTCTAACAGCTTGCCTACATATAACCTATGTGATGCCCAAATGGACTTGCAGCTCTGTTCCAGGCAAGCCCTAGGTTTTCCTCCTTCACTAGCTCTGCCCAGTGTGTGCCCCATCTGACCTGTCCCCCACTGTACATATTCTTCCAGTTCTGTCTCCCACATCTGTCTTCAGAGTCCTTCAGCACCAGCAAGCCTACTACATCCCATTTCCTCCACCACACCTCTGAGGTCATTCTACTATGTTCTATTTACATTTGACTGTGGGCTCCTTGAAGGAACAGTCCCCATCTTAAGAAAGCACCATTTAATCACATGGCCAAGTATGTGCATATACTAGAAAGACCATAATCACGTGGCCATGGAAAACCTTTGTGTCTCTTCTACTTGCTAGCTGAGAGACTTGTGAAGAGTTACTTAACCTTTCTGAGCCTGTGTTCCTTTCTTAGTACATTAGCCATAATAGTATCAACCCTACAATATTATATTAAGAAATTAAATGTCTGTGAAAGTGCCTTTGTTCCAAGTAATTGCTCAATGATGATTCATAGGATCCTCCCCTTCTTACTGCATATTTACTAGATTGGTTTAAGCATGCTAAATAAAGCACTAAGTAATTATGGATCCATTTTTCTGGTTCCTAACTCTAGTTATTTCAGGTTTTATACAGATGTAAAAGCTTTTTTCTTCTACACAGCCCCAATAAGAGGATTTACCTTGGCCTAAAAAGTATGGGAAGCATAAGCCCCAAACTTCTGTTCTTGTTGGTCAGCTATGAACATTTTAAAAAATAAACATTCTACTTAAGCTGTTATTCTGGAAAACTGGAGTTTATTGGTCATCCTTGATCCATCTATACACATGAGTTTCTAAAGGTAAATATTAACAACTATGTAGAAGCTGGAAATATAAAGGCAGAAATTATAAGAATGGTGACATCATTACATCATAAAACGTCTGTGTTGGAATGAGGGGCAGAAAACAAGTGCATAGATAATCAGTTGCTGAACACGAAATGCCAATCAAAAGCATCAAGTCCTAATTTATTATGAAAATATGTGTATACTAAAGTTTCCATAATAAGATAGTCAAAATTTATCTTTTGGGAACGGTTAGGGACAAAGGTAATTCTGGATTTTCAGAGATGGGCTGAAGGAAGGGAGGGGTTGGGCTGTGAGATGGACAGAACATGTGGTGGGCTGAGGACAGAAGTACAGGGCAGGAATGAGAGGTGTCGGTTTGGTTCACAGTTCCATTCCCTTTGTTAACAATGCCAAGCAGGATCTTTTCAGCCTGCACAATTGGGAAAGTTCCTGGCAAAAAAGTGCAAACACTCTTTTATTTCCCAGAACTGTAATTCCCATTAAATTGCTTCTCTGGAAAAACAAAGGTTCATTTTACTGTTTTATGGGTGATTTTCTTTTCTTTCAGCTTTACTAAGGTATGATGAACAAAATTTTAGGACAGTGCATATTGTGATGATTTGGAACACATATCCATTGTGAAGGGGCTTCCCTGGTGGCTCGGTGGTATAGAATACACCTGCAACACAGGAGCTGCAGGAGAGGAGGGTTCAATCCCTGGGTGGCAAAGATCCCCTGGAGTAGGAAATGGCAACCCACTTCAGTATTGCTGCTGCTGCTGCTGAGTCGCTTCAGTCGAGTCTGACTCTGTGCGACCCCATAGACGGCAGCCCACCAGGCTCCGCTGTCCCTGGGATTCTCCAGGCAAGAACACTGGAGTGGGTTGCCATTTCCTTCTCCAATGCATGAAAGTGAAAAGTCAAAGTGAAGTCGCTCAGTCGTGTCCGACTCTTCGTGACCCTATGGACTGCAGGCAACCAGGCTCTTCCGTCCATGGGACTCTCCAGGCAAGAGTACTGGAGTGGGGTGCCATTGCCTTCTCTGACCATTCTTGCCTGGAAAATTCCATGGGCAGAGGAGCCTGTACAGTCCACGGGGTCACAAAGAATTGAACACGACTGAAGCAACATAGCATTCATACATACATACATTGTGAAAGGATTTCCCCTCTCTCCCATCTAAAATTAATGTATCCATTACTCTTTTATCAGAGATTTTATTTGATCACAGAGCTTGAAGATTTTCTTGCTGTTTAACTCTTGGTTCCTTTTTTGTAAAAAAATGAGGACTACTACAGTACTTAGAACAATGACAGTGGCTAGACCCCATAGGGTTACTGCTAATAAAAATTTCCAAGGGCAATTTTGTTTTAACCATGGGCCAATTACAAAATAAAGACGGAATTAGAGAAAAATATTTTCTTAGAACAGAGCAATTAAACCTGGATTTAGGTGCATAGTATTTATTCAGAATAATTTTAATGCTGTCATTTTAAAACTTCAGAAAATTCTATCTGACATAGGAATTGTTGAAACAGTCATAAACAATGGTCTAGTTGGCCAGGGGCTGCTGTGATTTATTCAAAGCATTATTCCAAACTTAACACATAGGTTTTATTCCAAGTTTAAGAAGAAAAAAAGAGCAATCCAAAACACAGATAAGATGAGGGCATATATGTATTTTATATGTAAGACTTCACACTTTCAAATACCAGCTTGCTATGGAATTCTGTCTGTTCCTCCTTTGTCTAAACAAACAAGCAACAACGCATCTTAGCCAGAGTGGTATGAACAATGATCATCCAGTTCCATCAAAAACCTTTCATTCATTTAGCAAATATTTGAGTTCCTATTATATGCTAGCATTGAAGAACAAGAAGGAACAAGAGACAGTCTTCTCCTTTGAGAATCTCATTGGCCACTGGAGATAGAGACAAATAATCAGACATTTAGAATGACCTGTGCTAAATGTCATGATGAGGATGAGCACAGGGCACTCTGGGAGCATGGGAATGGCCACCTGAGTTCATGTGCTCCCAGAGGAAAGCTTTGATGTCTGGATAAGAACTTAGCAGAGGAAGCAGAGGTAGAAGCAGCCTCTAGAGACAGAATGACCTAAGCCAAGACAGAGACGTATGAGAGAGAGAGAGAGAGTGAGCACTTTGTGTGACTGTGGCACAAATGTAAGGCTGAGAGGGATGGTGCTGGACAGGTGGTTCTGAGTATAAAAATTTAAATAAATACATTGTGGTAATGATGTTCTCTTTGTTTAAAAAAAGGGCAACTTTAGTTCCTTAACTGCATTGAAATGTATTTTGTCGAGACAAAATATAATTTTTCTCCCAGTTCTGTTTGGCTACATATATGTATGTTTTAAAATAATTGTTCTCCTTGGAGAGCAGTACATGACAGACAGATATAAATTTTGTACTAATGTCCATTACAGTTTGATCATCAATCATGTAGCCGATACCTGCCTTTACCAGTTGACATATGCTGGGAAGTGGAGAATGCCTGTTGATAAATCAACTCTTCCTCTGGGAGGTGAGTTTATTCTTTGAAATGGGGTGTGGGAGGGTTTGAGCATCTAGACACAGTTTGGGAGGGAGAAAGTGGTATGGAATCTTTGGGTGAACTGAATCTCCATTTCCTACCTTTTTCTCTGGTGGCCTCTCAGAAGAATCAAAGGACGGGGGGGAAGTCTGCTCCTTTCCTGGGCTTCTGTGTATGTGTGCTCATTTTCTCAGTTGTGTCTGACTCTTCTGAAATCTTATGGACAGTAAGTAGCCTGCCAGGCTCCTCTGTTCATGGAATTTTCCAGGCAAGAATACTGGAGTGGGCTGCCATTTCCTATTTCATGAGCTTATCACATCCATAAATACCACATTTACCAAAAGACAAAGCTGTAAGAGGATGGCTAAACAGCATACAAATCATTTCCATCCTGAAAACATGCCAATGCTTTAGACCTCGACTTTCCTGCACCGACTTTGGCATCATAGTGTCTTTTCTCCAACTATCCCGAGAAATTCTGGACTCTGAAAGGTTCCTTTGCACCAGTTAAGCAAATCATCATTTATTTAACCAACCTCCGTCTCCTTTAAATGACTTTCATTTTTATTTTGTCCTGGTTATTTTAAAATGACAGGTAAAAATATCTGTTCTCAGAGCTGTATGAGATAAAAATGTTTGCCCTGAAGGGAATAAACTCTTGATTTAGCTAAAGCTAAACAGTATATCTAAAATAGAAATACAGTATTATAAAAAATTAAAATCTGACAAATCCACTGTGAGAGTATATTTCCTCTGCTATACTATGTTTTATGCAGAGTCTTTTAAAAAGCAAACAAAATAAGGCAAATTTGGTAAATGGAACAGAAGAATGAAGAGGCAGAACAGAAAAACATACTTATTTTGAGACCAGGGTGATGTCCTAAAAAGAAATTAGTTCCTGTTAGTTGGCCAAAGAGAAAAATGCTAGACTTCTGTCTCTCCTGCATAATAGGATCATAAGGGAAGTGTCTCTCAGCTGAACAGATCAAGAAACCTACACTTTCTGCAAGATTTGGAAGAAATTTCTCTTCCCTATTAGGTCTTCTTTATGAACTTTTTGATTAACTGCTATTAAGCACTGTAGTAACTGCTTTGTATAACTCACATTATCATCACAGCTAAAAAGACAGGCACTATTATTAGCCTCATCTCACACATGAAGAAACTAAGGCTCAAAGAGGCCAAAGATTTGCTCAAGGTCACAGAGCTAGTAAGTTGCAGAACCTTTGCCAGTTTAATGACAAAACCTTTCGTCTGGACGTTTATATACTATGTATGCTAACTTCCCTTGCATGCATGCCAAGTCGCTTTAGTTGTGTCTGACTCTTTGCAATCCTATGCACTGTAGCCCACCAGGCTCCTCTGTCCATGAGATTCTCCAAGCAAGAATACTGGAGTGGATTGCCATACCCTCCTCCAGGGGATCTTCCTGACCCAGGGATCAAGTAACTCCACACCTCTTGTGTCTCCTGTATTAGCATCACCTGGGAAGCCCTGATACTTCCCTTGAAAAAAATAAATCTAGTAGCAAAGCTTAATTCACTAAGAAGTGAGAAACCACCTCCATGTAAAGTATTCTCAAGTACCTCACGGAGTACCTCTCAAGTACCACCTTCTAAGCAACCTAATACAGCTATCCTATCCCTATTCTCCTCCATCAAGAAGCACTCTACTCCCCACTGGGGACAGAGAATAGCAAGGACAGAGAGCTGAAGCTAGCACCTTTTCAATTGCTGCTCCCAGGGTATCTCAATGTGTCACCTTATCAATGAACGACAGTCCGTCTCCCTTCACCCCCACCCCCCATGTAACCCAACTTACTCCATGGAGTCAATGATTTTTTTTGGCTCTACAGGACATGGATAGACGACTTCATCAATGTGCTTCAGGTTACAGTTTGAAAAGGCAGTAGAAATGTGTATGAAGGCCTCCAGCTTCGGCATCTGACTGGCCATGAGCAAAAGCTGCTGGGTGGCAGTGACGTTGAGCTGCACAGCATGTCTGCAGAAGGTTAGGCAGGAGGAAATACAGTGAGGCAAGTCACATCCCATTTTGCTGGAGCTGCACCTACTGCAGTAACTGGAATATCCATCTGCTTTTGTGGCTGCATCGAAGGACCAGGAAGAAAAGTATGGGTCATGGCCACACAGTTATGTGATATTTGGAATATGTTATATGTTGATGATGTCTTTTGTGCACATAAATCCTGTGATACATGTTACATTTAGAAGTCATCTGATTCTAAATCAACTGGAAGGAAAGAAAATCACAATCCTCTGAATTTATACAGGGACTTCTTAAGCAGCCATTAAAAGAATAAAAACCATAAATTAGGCATCTAACTTAAGTTAGAAAATTCAAATAAACTAGAGGAGAGCAACGGTGAATATAGAATGAGAAATATGTTTCTATTGCAAAGGTATAGGTCAGATATAAAAATTGATGTCAATAGAGAACAGGTGAAGTTGCCAAGGGGGAGAGAGGTGGGGAAGGGATGAATTGGGAGTTTGGGATTAGCAGATGCCAACTATTATTTATAGGATGGATAAATTACAAGTTTCTAAAGTATAGCACAGAGAACTATATTCAGTATCTTATGATAAACCATAACAGAAAAGAATATAAAAAAGAATGTATACATATATATATGTGTGTATATATATATATAACTGAATCACTTTGCTATACAGCAGAAATTAAAACCACATTGTAAATCAACTATACTTCAGTTAAAAAAATGATGTCAAAACCCTACATTTTACCTAATAGAACACAAAGCTGCATAAACATATGGATATGATGACATTGAAGTAATTCTTTTTCTAGAAATATGTTTCATACAAAATTAGGAAACCTATTACTCTAACTCAAAAAAAGAAAAAAATATGTGATCATGTGTACATTTATATATAGAAAAATTTTAAAATGCATTCAATACCCATTTCCAGTTCAATTTTTTAAATTTCACTAAAAGAAGAAGAAAATGATTTAAAAATATATATACTTCAATTTGATAGCCTGTGTCATGCTTAATGGTTCAAAGTAAGGAGCACTGGTTTTAAAGTCAGAGTCAAGAAAAATGCTCACAATCACTACTGCTTAACACTGCTCTGAAGTTGCAGCCTTATAATTAGAGAGGAAAATAAAGTTAGTAAACATCATTACTGCAAAGCCAACCATAAAATCACTATCAGATTATATAACTGTATATCTGAGAAAAAACAGAAGCAACTGGAAAAAACTGGGGTGAACAATAATAGTTCAATAAGGTGTTCACTTCTAAAAGTTATGTGAAAGAATCACTAGCTTTCCTGTATAGAAACAAAAATTAGAGTCTACAATGGAAGAATGGCACATAGTCAAAAAAAGAACATTTAAAAGATATCAAATTAATAAGTAGGCTCTATATAAAGAAAATTATGAAACTTCATTAAGGATCATAAGAGAAAAATTGTATCATAAGAGATATACGTTGTTCTTTTATAAGAAAAGTCAATGTCTAAATCATGCTATTTTTCTAAATCAATCTACATAGTCAAGGTAATCTCAATCAAACTCACAACCCTTAAACAAACTTGGCAGATTTATTCTAAGTTTAATCAAGAGGTGAGAATAGTCAGGAAAATTCCTTAAAAAGAGAAAAATGTGTGTATACTTGCCTAATAAAATAAGAATAGTAGTCATTAAAATATTGTGGTACTGGAAAAGAAAGTCTAATCAATGGAATGCTTTAAAAAAGGATTGAGAAATAGGCATTTAATATACTATTTTCTTTTAAACAAAAAGTGAAAATAAATAATTTAATATGTTTAAAAAGTAACCATCTGTTAATGTTAAAAAAATACTGTACGTCACACACATATCACTCTTATTTTTATAGAATTTTCCTATTATTCTTTAGAGGAAAGTAAATTTTAAATGAGTCAGATTTAAATGTAAACATGGAACAGTTTAAATACTAGAAAAAATTATGAAAAACTGTAAATAATAAAAACAGAGCTGAGGACAGAAACTGTTAAAATATTTTGAGCCTTATAAAAGATGAAGAGTTGATATGCTAAATCTTCCAAGAAGCCTTAAAACAGACAAAAAAAGATTGTTTCGAGAGAAAAATAGGTGAAGAACACAAATAGGCATTTCACAAAAGAATAAACTGTCAATCAGCATTTAAACATTCTCAACCTTTCTGATTATCAAAGAAATAAAAACCAAAATATGCAATACTATTTCCATTTTCATATTGACAATGATAAAAAGAATTAAAGAATCGTAGTATGGTACTACTGTGTTAGAAATGAGCACTCACATGCCCAAGAACACTGTAAATTCATACCACCTTTTTGAAAAGCAACTTAGCATTATATGTCAAAATATAAACTGTTCATAACCTGGACATATCTGGCATGTGTCTAATAATTCTACTTTTGGAATTTACCCAAAGGGAAAAAATGTATATACACAGATTTTCATTGCAGAGCTGTTTATAACAGTGAAACATCTAAGCAATGTCCCTCAGTACAGAACTGCTTGAGTGTATTATATACAGGTACAATGGGATGCCACGTAGTCACTACAAATTACAATAAATTATCAATTGACAATGAAAGATATCTAAAAATAAAACTGAACAGGTTGCAAAAAACATCATTTCATTTTTTGGAGAAATTGAACATAAGTCTCTTTTATTACAGATGCATAAAGAAAAGTTGAAATGGATGGTCTTCACAATATTAAATGGTTATCTGTGGATGGTAAGCTTCTAGAAAAGATTTACTCCTTTGTTTTCATTGAGAATATCTCTTTTTTTAAAAGAGAAATAATGAAGAAACTTACACATATGTGTGCACACACACGTGTAATACAAGTCATGAAAGGGGACTTGGACTGTACCTGAGGTGGTCATCAAAGCGCACGGTAGCGGCACAGTGGAAGATGATGTTTGTGTGCGAAAGAAGCTCCTGCACGTCCTCCTTGCTGATGGCAAAGTCATTCTGATTGAGGTCTGCAGAAATAGCTCGGATCTTCTCATGCACGTTTGGACAAACTTCTTTGACTTTTTCAAACAGCTGAAACATATAAATCATCAAAGATCATCATCACCAACAATGTTCTTATTTTCACTGACATTTCATTTTAATTCACAAAAACTGGCTGTTAGCTGTAATAATATGACTCAGCCATCTGCTTTATTACATGCAATTCAAGGTCAGCTTAGAATAATTCTTGCTCCTCTTAATTTGATAAATATCCGGAAAAAGTCAGTTCCAGTGACCAGTAAGGAGTGTATTTTGAACTTTTCCTGGGTGAAGGTCTGGTAGTAAGCCATCCATATCTTGCACCATCCTCTCTTCCCTTCCAAGGCAGCTTCATGTTTAAACATGGTGGTTATTTCCATTTCTGCCTTAGAGATACTGTTTTTGGAGCAAATTCACCAGCCTTTATATACCTTGACAAATTACCAGCAAAATCACCTGCCTTTAAGAAGGTCTCATAAGCACAGGTTCAAAACAACTTGGTTAATTGGACCAGATTTACAAGAGGTCTTAGAAGCAAAAAGATAATTAGAAAAAAAAATTAAGCAAATTTGTAATGGGTAAAACAAATAAAATTTTTATATAATCTCATTCTAATATATAAATGGCAGTTATTGTCTAGTAAGAGGATTACATGAGCTCATGTATTTTTTATTGGATTTTAATTGATTTTTTATTATTCTAATTTATTTATAAAGGGAAAAGGAAACAGTACTAGCAGATATAGCTTTTTTTTACAATTATTCAGATAAAACACAGCCTCTATTTTCCCTTCCACACAGAAGTTCTCAGGTTGAATTGGTATTTTCCATTTTCTCAGAAGATAACAATTTTAATGAAAGCATCTTGGTTCCAATCTACTTTGATAAAATAAAAGTTTATTGTAGTAATGGTTTGGTATGTGAAAAGTAAGGGCAAGAGAAGTAAGGTTAAACGTTTAGAAAGGTTAAGAGCAGAGAAAATTAGGATGTGGTTTTAATACTAATATAGTAGTGGAGACAAACAATCCTGCTCTCCCTTTTAACTCCAAAAGAATGTTTTCATCTGTTCCTTGATCCTTAGCAGAAGGCTTCTTCTTCCCAGTAGAGATTTACCCCAGGCTTCTCTGTTGGATAATAAGAAGCTAATTTCAGATATTTACAGAAATCATGTCTCATTTGTATCAGGTAAGACCATGTTCAGAGGACATCCTGGAAATTTAATGAAGCCAGCTAGGGAAGGGAATTAAATCCACATACTGACCTGGCAGGGTAATACACATCTGTCTCCAAGCTACTATTTTCCTGCACTTAAGGCCAGCCTTTTTAATATTGTGTTACTATAATCCTGAAAATAATTCTAAAGTTAGGCCACTCTTCAACGCTTTTTCCACATCTAAGATTGATAAAGCAACTCAGGGACATTCTCAACAAAGTTCATGTCAATTCTTTTGAAAGACATTTAACAGCTCTCTAGTCATAATGGATCATAAGCATGCTAATATTTGTTTTCATAGTCAAATGTTTTCCTTTGTGTTGTTGTTGTTGTTGAGTCATTAAGTCGTGTCCCACTCTTTGCAACCCCACGGACTGCAGCATGCCAGCCTTCTCTCTCTTCCACTATCTCCTGGAGTTCACTTAAATTCATGTCCACTGAGTCCATGATGCTATCTAACCACCTCATACTCTGTTGCCCCCTTCTCCTCCTGCTCTCAATCTTTCCCAGCATCAGGGTCTTTTCTGATGAGTCGGCTCTTTGCATCAGGTGGTCAAAGTATCGGAGATTCAGCTTTACCAACAGTCCTTCCAGTGAACATTCAGGGTTGATTTCCCTTAGGATTGACTAATTTGATCTCCTTCCTGTCCAAGGGACTCTCAAAAGTCTTCTCCAAAAAAGTCTTCTCCAGCATCACAATTTTCTTTTGCAGTTCATGCTAATTGTACAACAGACACAGGTTGGATAATTTTGGATAAGTTTATGCCACATTTATACAGTTATCCTCCTTTTTAATAACTGAATCTATACGAGGCTTTTTCTGAGCCGTGATAGATTTCATTCATGAGAAATCTATCTGGGGTTCTGCTGAGTCTGACATTGGCCTATGGAGACTTTCGGCTGCTTGAGAGCAAGACATGGAAGATGACCTCAGCGGCTACTCTTCTAGCAATGGGGCTGGTCACAGATGATGCAAGCTGCCATGCAAACATTTTCTGTTGCCTTTGGTTTTTATGACTTTATGTTTTAAATTTACTTTGGCTGTGCTGGGTCTTTGTTAGGGTGTACAGGCTTTCTCTGGTTGTGGAATGGAGGGGCTTCCCTAGCTGTTGCACTTGGGCTCTCTAAGTTGCCCCACGGCATGTGGGATCTTAATTCCCAACCAAGGATAGAACCCAAGTCCCCTGCATTGGAAGGCAGATTCTTAACCACTGGATCAACAGCAAAGTCCCTGGTTTTTGTGACTTTAAAATTCAGAGGATATTATTAAATTATACTATACTTTCAGACCACCTGTGCAATTTTGAACAGCACCAAGATACATTTACAGCATTACTGTTTTAGGAGATAATTACTATTTCAGGAAATAAAGTCCCAATCTTCATCCTATTTATGGATTTATATTTTCAAACAAGAGGGGATATCTGAATGAACATAATATAATTTAAAAAGAAGTTTCAGTATTCTGATTGAGGTGGTATTGATTACAATCCATTGGCATAAATCAATGAATTGGCTGCATCAACTGAAGCCACAGTAATAATTAGGGTCCTATTTTACTACACTAGCCAGGCCTGATAATATGACCATTACCAAGTGGTCAATACTGAAATCAGATTGATTATGTTCTTTGCAGCCAAAGATGGGAAAGCTCTATACAGTCAGCAAAAACAAGACCAGGAACTGACTGTGGCTCAGATCATGAACTCCTTATTGCCAAATTCAGGCTTAAATTGAAGAAAGTAGGGAAAACCACTAGAACATGCAGGTATGACCTAAATCAAATTCCTTATGATTATACAGTGGAAGTGACAAATAGATTCAAGGGATAAGATCTAATAGAGTACCTAAAGAACTATGAATGGAGGTTCATGACATTCTATAGGAGGCAGTGATCAAGACCATCCCCAAGATAAAGAAATGCAAAAAGGTAAAATGGTTGTCTGAGGAGGCCTTACAAACAGCTATGAAAAGGAGAAGTGACAGGCAAAGGAGAAAAGGAAAGATATACCCATTTGAATGCAGGGTTCCAAAGAGTAGCAAGGAGAGATAAGAAAGCCTTCCTCAGCGATCAGTGCAAAGAATTAGAGGAAAACAATAGAATGGGAAAGACTAGAGATCTCTTCAAGAAAGTTCGAGATACCAAGGGAACTTTTCATGCAAAGCTGGGCACAATAAAGGACAGAAATGGTATGGACCTAACAGAAGCAGGAGATATTAAAAAGAGGTGGCAAGAATATACAGAAGAACTGCACAAAAAAGATCTTCATGATCCAGATAATCACAATGGTGTGATCACTCACCCAGAGCTAGACATCCTGGAATGTGAAGTCAAATGAGCCTTAGGAAGCATCACTATGAAAAAAGCTAGTGGAGGTGATGGAATGAATTCCAGTTGAGCTACTTCAAATTCTAAAAGATGATGCTGTGAAAGTGCTGCACTCAATTTGCCAGCAACTTTGGAAAACTCAGGAGTGGCCACAGGACTGGAAAAGGTCAGTTTTCATTTCAATTCCAAAGAAAGGCAATGCCAAAGAATGCTCAAAGTACACATAATTGCACTCATCTCGCATGCTAGTAATGTTCAAAATTCTCTAAGCCAGGCTTCAACAGTACATGAACTTTGAACTTCCAGATGTTCAAGCTGGATTTAGAAAAGGCAGAGGAGCCAGAGATCAAATTGCCAGCATCCATTGGATCATCGCAAAAGCGAGAGAGTTCCAGAAAAATATCTACTTCTGCTTTACTGACTATGCCAAAGCCTTTGACTGTGTGGATCACAACAAACTCTGGAAAATTCTTAAAGAGATGGGAATACCAGACCACCTGACCTGCCTCCTGAGAAGTCTGTATGCAGGTCAGGAGCAACAGTTAGAACTGGACATGGAACAAATGGTTCCAAATTGGGGAAGGAGTACGTCAAGGCTGTATATTGTCACCGTGCTTATTTAACTTATATGCAGAGTACATTGTGAGAAACGCTGGGCTGGAGGAAGCACAGTTGGAATCAAGATTGCCGGGAGAAATATCAATAACCTCAGATATGCAGATGACACCACCCTCATGGCAGAAAGTGAAGAAGAACTAAAGAGCCTCTTAATGAAACTGAAAGAGGAGAATGAAAAAGTTGTCTTAAAACTCAACATTCAGAAAACTAAGATCATGGAACATGGTCCCATCAAATAGATGGTTAAACAGTGGAAACAGTGACATACTTTATTTTGGCGGGGGGCCAAAATCACTGCAGATGGTGACTGCAGCCAGGAAATTAAAAGATGCTTGCTCCTTGGGAGAAAAGCTATGACCAACCTAGATAGCTTATTAAAACAGAGACTCGACTTTGGCAGCAAAGGTCCTTCTAGTCAAAGCTATGGTTTTTCCAGTAGTCATTTATAGATGTGACAGTTGGAGTATAAAGAAAGTTGAGCACTGAAGAATGGATGCCCTGGAACTGTGGGGTTGGAGAAGACTCTTGAGAGTCCCTTGGACTGCAAGGAGATCCAACCAGTCCATCCTAAAGGAAATCAGTCCTGAATATTCACTGGAAGAACTGATACTGAAGCTGAATCTCCAATACTTTGGCCACCTAAAGTGAAGAATTGACTCATTTGAAAAGACTCTGATGCTGGGAAAGATTGAAGGAGGGAGGAGAAGGGGATGACAGAGGATGTGATGGGTGGATGGAATCACTGACTCAATGGACATAAGTTTGAGTAAACTCTGGGAGCTGGTGATGGACAGGGAGGCCTGCTGTGCTGCAGTCCACGGGGCTGCAAACAGTCAGGCACGACTGAGCGACTGGACTGAACCGAGCTGATAATATGACTTGCCTTAGTCTG